TGTATAAGACGCACGCAACAATATGTGCGGGTCAATTGAATGCAGTTGAAGATGATGCTTCACCAAATTTGTGGCATAGGTGACTGGCGCACGTTAGCGAGAAAGGGTTGAATATGTTGGCTAAGAAGTCCCTCATACCATTGGTCAAAGGTAAATAAACCCTTGTGATTATTGTTTATTTGGGAAGCAACATCGTGTCTCATTTTTGAAAAGCTCTAGAAGGAGAGACAACAAGTTGGAGTTGGTTTGGTACACTCTGACGTATATGGTTCCATGGAGTTAGAATCACTTGGAGGAAGTAGGTATTTTCTTACCTTCATTGATGATTTCTCACGAAAAACATGGATATATTTGTTGCGCACAAAAGACCTTCAAGCACTTCAGCAATTTGCATGTGATGGTGGAAAGGACGGTACTGGAGTAGCATTGAAGTGTTTGCGCACGGATAATGTGGTGAGTATATCTCTAAGGAGTTTAGGAGATTATTGTTTAGTCAGCATTGGTATCAGGCATGAAAGACCAATTCCTGGTAAACCGCAACCACAACGGCGGTTACTGAACCGACTGAATCGCATCAATTGTTGAAAGAGTTTAAGGATCCACGCCTCAAAAATGGCCAACGTACCAAAGCCATTTTGGGGAGAAGCTGTCAATATGCTGCTACCTAATCAACCGTACTACCTTTCAGCACCATTGGGATTTTGAATTCCGGGAGAAGGTCTGGACAGGTAGACAATTATTTTCATACTCTCACCTGAGGGTATTGCCTGCAACGGCATTATGCACTGTTCCGAAGGAGCAGAGATCAAAGCTTTGTGACAAGTTCAGTTCCTTTGCACTTTGTGGCCTATGGAGACAAGAGTTGGCTATTAGGTTGTGGACCAAGTGGAAAAAGAAAGTTTTCCGGAGCCAGATGTACGTATTCCACCGAGAATAAGATATGTGGCAGATAGATTGTGGCAGATACAACTTGTGAAGAATCCACAAGTGATGGTGCTATTGATATTACACCAGGAAGCATTCCTACAGATGATGCCACAGGAGGAGGACTGCCAAAATCAGAACGAGAAGAAGAAGAAGAGCCAGTTGTAAGGGATCAGGAGACAATTGTAGATGATAACAGTGATACAGAGGGTGTTGAGTAGGGGGAGCCGGAGAACCCCATTTCACCAGAAGGAGTTGAACCTCAGTTAAGAATGTCAACCAGAGAACGCCAACCATCTACAAGGTACCCTAGTTCTGATTACATTTTGATTACTAATGAGGGGGAGCCAGAAAGCTTCCAAGATGTGCAATCGATGCTGCAATCTTTCGAAAGACAGAGATTGCTGGCGACAAAGGCACATTGAAGGGAGGGGGCATGAATTCTTCTGAAAAAGAAGTGACAAACGGTCTATGACGCTCGGTGAAACTTCTCCAAAAGGGCAAGAAAACACTCCGATAAGAAACAAATGGCAAGCTACTACAATAAACTGATAACGATAACCACAAGAACAACACAGTAGGATGATGGCAACTAGTGAAACCGATACGATGAAGCTCGATTTGGTCGTTCCAACCAAAAGCTTCTACTCGAAAAGGAAAGTATTAACTGATGAGATTTTTTCACCAGTGTTGATAAGACAGTTTCTATTCGTAGTTTTGTGTTAGGTCTTTATGCGTAGCCAATTTGCAATCCTAGAGTGGACTGGGCAGTCCGTTGACATGATCTTTAACAAGGACTGCATTCTTGCATAGGGCATCTACAGCAGAGACAACACATCGCTATAAGCGATGACTGACCACGAAGGGTTTCGTCAAACGTCTAAGGGCACAAAAAGCAGGACCATCGGATTTCTGTCAGCTTTGCCAAGAAGAAGCTTGTACGGCGGTATGAACAAGACACACACGGACCAATCTGCCCTCATTAAATCAAGATCTTGATTCTTCATCGGTGAATCACAGATAACAATTATATTGAGGCAGATGCCGATTCGTTGTGTAATCTCTCCAGAAATTTCTGATGGTAGAAATTATCATCCTTACTCTTATATGTTGATGATATGACTAATCGTTCGGACCAGATGCACATATGAATTACAAGTTATAAGAACAGATTTGTCAAAAGCAATTTGACATGAAGGATTTGGGATCGGCCCAAAGCCGAAATTCTCGGAATGCAGGATTAGTCCGATGACAGAAAGTCCTGCAGTTATGGTTATCGCAGGAAAAAACTATTAATTCTTGAACGATGCTTCTAGAGAGGGCTTCAATATGAAGAATGCCTTAAACCATGTTAGCACCTCCGCGTGACCGCCTTCACTTCAAGTTAAGTAAGAAAATCCTACCCATCAACAGAGAAAGAACAGGAGATTATGTCAAATGTTCCTATTCTTTGCAAGGGTCGAAAGTTTGAGGTACGCGATGTGTGTGTACGGAGACCAGATATCGCTCATGGCAGTTGGCGTTGTGAGCCGATTTCTGTCAAAATCCCAGAAACACATTGGGGAAGCCAGTGAAGTGGATCTTGCAGGATACCTGAAAGGAACTTCAAAGTTATGTTACACTTTGGAGGCTGAAAAGACGGCATCATTCATTTGTCTGGATCCTACACAGATGACAGATTATGAGCCGAGTGATCTTGATGAAAGAAAATCTTACATCTAGGATATCTATTTACATTCCAAGGGGACTATTTCATAGGTAAGTCAAGATTTACAAAAATGTGTTTTCCATTCATCAACGACTGATAGCATGAGATTACGTTGCAGCAACGGACAGCAGAGAAAAGGAAATGCTTTGGTTAAAGCGATATCTTTCAAGAATTGTGAGCCCACGGTGTGCAGCAGGAGAAATTATAGTTTATTGTTATAGTCAAAAGTGCATAGGACTTGAGCAAAAATACTATGTATCATGCAGAAACAAAACACAATTTGATGTAAGATATCATTGGCTCTAAGACTGCCATTGAAGAGAAGCAGTTCCAGTTAGCGAAAAATCCACAAAGACAGAAACTGCTGTCGGATATATTAACAACATGTCGTTCCGAAGGAGAATAGGTCGTTCAGCCACACTGTTGTGTCAAAGCACTAAAGTACGAAATGGAGAGTCTACCCCTACACATTAGTCCAGGAGAAGTTCGAACTGTGTGTCAAAGCGGTAGAAATGGAGAGTCCCACCATGTAGTCGGGAGGGGGAGAATTATTGTGGGATCCCTCCGACATATAGGACCCACACAAGTTTGAAGAAAGAAAAAAAAAGAGTCATATTTTTTTTGTTGTTCAAAGAAGGTTGCGCGTTGGATGCGTTAATTGCGCGCAGTCGGTGGATGCGTTGATTAACGCATCCCCTTCTCCTATAAATAGGAGAAGTTTTTCCCTCAACAAATCGTACAAAAACAAAAGAATAGAAATACATAGAGTGTATAGACTTTTAGGAAAAGGATTCCTAAATTTGGGAAAGAGAGAAAATAGTGAGGATCATAATTTTTGGGTGTTTTTGGAAAACACTTAGAGTACCACTATTTTTGTAATCTCTTTTGTACCTACTATTTTTAGTAGAAGAATTATTCGGAGTTTTTTCTCGTTGGACATTAGCCCATAACAGGGGAGGCGTGAAACCACGTAAATCTCAGTGTCCTTTATTTTTCATCTGCATTTACGGTAATTATTTAATTTTCGTGGACATAGCCCATAACAGTTGAAGGGTGAACCACGTAAATCTCAGTGTCCTTATTTTTCATCTGGCATTTACGGTAATTATTTAATTTTTACCGGGGTTATTATTTCTGGTGGATTCGATCGTCAATGTCCAATAAATAATTATTAGAGCATTTTTCCGCGGGCCCTACTCGAAATCAGTTATAATCCCAACAACCTCGACTGCTGCAACAGTAGCTTGGGCTACCTCACCCTGATCCTTGGCACAAATCCAATCATGAAAGTACCTCAAACCCGATGAGACAACTAGAGTCGGTGGAGTGCTCACCCCTTGCTAGATAAAAAACATTTCTATGGTTCCAGATATTCCATATAACTGCTGCCAACTCAGCAACACGATCTGCACCCCCCGATTGAAAACAAGATAAAAATCCAGTGTAACAAGCCATCTCCAATGAGTTGAGATGTCTCAGAACAAAAATTGTGCTAGCACTCAGTCGCTCTAACACAGGTGACCAAAGCATGAGCAACTGACTCCTCCATACCACAAACCGGACAACTCGATGGAATATCTACCCCTCGTTGATGACGCTTCAACTTCATTGGTAAAATATCAGGACAGACACGCCAAACGAAATGCTTGATCCTGGGGGGTAAGCGCAGGCCCCACAACTTCCTCCAATCCACCCAAATCGGACCCAAGTTGTGCCTGAGAAACGATTCCGCTGTAAGATAATAGCCGGACTTTACCTGGTAAATCCCATTTCGGGACCAGTGCCAGATAAGCTTGTCCTCACCATTATTACTGAACGGCATGCGCAGGACAATCTCAGCATCAACAGGGGTCAGCAGGCCCCTAACCAAGTCCTCGTTCCATCCCTGCCCATGATCATTTTTCAAGTCCGCAACACAAAGATCTTCCATACCTGGTAACACATCTGATTGAACATAAAAAGACATATTGTTGAGAAGCCAAGGTTCCGACCAAATGTTCACTACATTCCTCGATCCTGTCCTCCATCTCATCCTCTTACAAGCATATTCTTGGAAAGCAAAATGCTCCTCCATGTGAAACTGGGGTTATCTCCAAGGAGGCTACCAAGAACAGCCCTAACAAATCCCCATCCGGGTAATATTAGACAAATGATAATTTTTTTTTAATATTTTCCTTATATATGTATATTTTTTAAATCATCCTTTTCAAATAAAGTCTAAGTATTTCAATTTTCATCAAATTATAAATATTCAACTGTATGTTTTTGAAAAAATAAAAAGAAAACATGTGCTCAAGTATTATTTACACAAAACCAGAGGAGTGTTTCAGTAATTATTCCATTTCATTTTATTCATTTCTCCAATTCGATTCTCTGCAAATGGAAACGATGCAGTTTTTTATTTCTTCACTCCACATTTCAATTATTCCCTTGCCGGAAAAGGCACGCCATAATTAATTCGATCCTAAACTTCGCCAAACTTCCATCTCCAAGATGACACCTCAATCTTGTCTCTTTGCCAAACCCAGACCCCATAATTCCCAAACCCATTGACATAAAAAAGGAAAAAAAAAAAATGCTTACTCTGTTTTTCTGTTTCCCTCGTTTCCTGTGTCTTCTCTGTTTCCTCCGCCACCTTCGCCGCCTCCACCATGCGTCCACAGAATTCTCGGACCAAATCAATTCTCGCCACCAAAATTCACATTATGGCCTTGGATGGCATTGTCAATGTGAACTCTTTATTCACTTTAGCTCTCTTTCTTGGTCTTGCTTGGTACCCTGTTCCTGACCCCACCATTACTCTTGTCACCGATCCTTCCTGCACCGCCAGCTCCGCCATCGTCGAGAACTTAGTCACCTTCCATGTTTATTCCTTCAGTTCCTTCCTTTTCTCCAGCCTTGTTGCTTTGGCTCTCAAGCAGGCCATAAAGATTGCAGATAAAGATGATGATAATATTATTAGTGTTGAAGAGTTAGGGAGTGCTTCTCTAGTGCATGTTGACATGGTGGCTTTACGGGTTGGGACTTTGGTTTCTGGGTTTGGCTCAGTTTTCGGATGTGGGTTCTTGATGATGGCTTTGGTGAATTTAGTGCAGATAAAGTTAGGGATTTTGGCTTGTGGGAGTTTGTATACTGTTGCTGCAATTGGTCCTTTGGTGATATTGGTTCCCTTGGCTTTAGTAATCTATGTTTTCCTCATGCTTTATTCCTTTACTCGCTAGAGTTTTCTGAATTTATGTTCATAGAATTCATGAAAAGATTACACCTTTATGTTTATTTATATGTTGAAATTGTTAAATGGCAACTGTATTGAGCATTTGAAAATAGAAGTGTGTAAAAATTGAGCAAATGCTCAATTTATGATTAGATGTTTCTGATTATGCTTGTTTTGGCCTTCCTGAGTGAAAAGGGCATATTTTTGTTGTTATTGAATTTTGGCAATAGCTGATTTCTGTCGTGTGTTCATTGTTGAAACTGTTTGGTTTCAGCCAGAAAATTAAAAAAGCTTTAATTTTTAATGAACTTCAAGCATCTTTGCTCAGCATCTTGACTATATAGATATGAATGTGATCTACTGATTTAGGTGCATAATCTGGTGGAATTTGCAGTTTTAAATTGCAGGCTGTATTGGGAATGGTTCTTTTTGTCTCCTAAATAATATTTATTATGATCTTGGGAGTTGGTAATGACAGTGGCTAAAATTTTGTTTTCTTAATATAATAATAGGTGTAGATGTCAAAGCAGGATAATTTAATCTGTGAAGGCAATGGACGATGCGGTTGCTTCACCACATTTTTAGTTATCTTTTGAAGTTTTTCATAAAAAATGATAAAAAAAATTGGGTGTTTTGTAGTATTTGCTTCCCCTGGACTGCCACTAGAGAAGCATGTGCAGGTGCCTTCTAATTCAAGTACCAAAAGGTCCAAAAACCGAAGGACCTTTTGGTTCTCAAAGAATGCATCATATCGCCTTCTCATTAGATTTAAACAAATTTTTGTATTGGTTCTCCATCTATTTGTTCTTTTCATGTTTTGAATTCATATTATAACCATTGCTTGATTTATTTTGCTGGGTGAAAGTTTGCCAGAAGGATTTGATCTCATATTTGGCATTTCATGGGTAAGGATCTGGTTGCCATCTTCACTTTCCGTTGTTTATGCTTCATCATTGCCCTCCTATCTGCATTTTCATTTATATCCTTTCTCTCATGGTTTCAACTTTCTGCTCCATGCTATTTCAAAGCCCAAATGATACTGCAAAAGCAAAACCAACCTATTAATCTCCTCCTTTTCCCTTCTGCTTGGAATCATCTTTCTTTTCCCTCGGAACCACCTTCTAAACTCCTTAAAATTGCACTCTTTGTAAAGAAATGGCCTCATAGATCTCATGCTGGAGGGCTTGAACGGCATGCCTTGACCCTTCATCTTGCTCTTGCCAAAAGAGGGCATGAGCTTCATGTTTTCACCTCTTCTCCCCCAAACTCCTCCTTCGCAAGGTATCCGCTGAGCAATTTATACTTTCACCTTTCAAGACCAACCGCTGCTGGTTATCTGGACCAAGCTTCAGTCTGGAAGCTATTTCAGACTCAAAACTCAACAGGAAAACCGTTTGATGTGGTCCACACTGAAAGTGTTGGGCTCTGGCATGCTCGGTCACGGAACCTGACCAACTTAGCTGTTAGTTGGCATGGGATTGCATATGAAACTATTCATACTGACATCATTCAAGAAATTTTAAGGAATCCTGAAGAACCATTAGCATATGCGTTGACTGAAAGAGTTACCAAGGTTGTTGAAGAGGTCAAATTTTTCCCTGATTATGCTCACCATGTTGCTACTAGTGATCATGCAGGTGATGTCCTGAAAAGGATTTATATGATTCCAGAAGAACGAGTTCATGTTATTCTTAACGGAGTGGATGAGGAAATTTTCAAGCCAGATGCTATGAAGGGTAAGGAATTTAAGCAGAAATTTGGTGTCACAGAAAGTAGATCATTGGTTTTGGGCATGGCAGGGAGGTTGGTGAAGGATAAAGGACACCCCTTAATGTTTGAAGCCCTGAAGCAGATCCTAATGGAAAACGATACAATTCGAGAGGACACTGTTGTTCTGGTTGTTGGTGATGGTCCTTGGGGTCCTAGATACAGAGATCTTGGTGTTAATGTACTTGTTCTGGGGCCATTAGACCAAGCTCAACTAGCAAGGTTCTACAATGCCATAGACATTTTTGTGAACCCAACTCTCCGAGCTCAAGGGTTGGATCATACTTTGTTAGAAGCAATGCTTTCTGGTAAACCTGTGATGGCCACTAGGGTAGCCAGCATCACAGGTTCAGTGATTGTTGATAAAGAAATTGGTTATGTCTTTTCACCAACGGTAGTTTCATTGAAGAATGCTCTCTATAGAGTTTGGGAAGAGGGCAGAGGAGTCCTAGAAGAGAAAGGTAAGGCTGCTATGCAGAGAGGGTTGCGCCTGTTCACTGCTACTAAAATGGCAGCTGCTTATGAAAGGCTTTTCCTTTGCATATCAAATAATAGTAACAGAACCGAAGATTATTGTCAATACCAACCTCCACTAGTTGGATAGCAACATCATTACCTCATTCAACATTGACAGAGCTAACAGGGAACGACATTGAACATTGAGACTAAGTGGTAAGGTTGAAGCTCTGGAGAAGGCAGCTGTATAGAGCTTTTCAAGAAGAAAGTACCTTCTTGTATTGATCCTTTACAGAATTTGGTAATTGTATTTATCGATCCATACTAGTTTCAACCATTTGAAAGGCGACATAACATTCATTTTTTCCCCTTCAGACTAATGGTAAACTGGCTTTATAATTTATCTGTTGCTGATATCTGAATCTTCTTGCTTTTAATTCTCTTACTTTAATACATTTGAACTTGCAGATTCACAGGCTACATTTTGCCTCAAGCTCCGACAAAGTCTAAAATTAGCAGCCTCAAACGAGGTAAGTGTGCTTGGAAGTAACATCTGCAGATGGCTTAGCAATCAAAGTTAGGGACATGAATTATGATTTACAATTATGAAACCAGAAAGAAATTTAACATTTATGTATGGAACTACATGTTTTGCCTAGAAAACAAGATTGGAATTCCTAGCACTAAAATTAGCTGCAGTCATTTCTGCATGTGCTCAAAGTTTCATTAATTGATGGCAATAATTCTTCAAATTTAAGGTTCAAAATTGTACCTCTCAGAACAAAAGCACAAGCTTATTTATTTTGTTCGAGTTTCATAAATGTCTACAAACAATAGGAAAGATACATAAACTTTAGGAATTGAACCTTCAAGTATATATGCTGCATATACAACATGAAGAGCATTGGGACAACATTCATTGGTGGTCTAGGTAAAAAAGCAGAAAGATTTAACTAGTGTTACAGTATTTCTTAAAAATCTCTTGCATTGAGGCTACACTCATATCAAAATCATGTCTTCACAGGCAGAAAAATAATACAAATTGCTGACAAGATCTATCCACATCAGCTGCTTATTTATTTTGCATCTCTTCTATCATTATCATCTAGGCTTTATGAATTCCTGCAATATAAAAAAGAAAGGAACAGAACAAACAAAATAAATTAGATAAAGGTCCCAGAAAAAAATCTCTAGTTGATCATTTGTGTATCTTAACTCAAATGAATATGTGTGGTTGCATCACATTAGCTGATCGTGATTGATAAGTTTAATATTTTCACTGTTTACACTATTGAAAAGGGTTCCATTACAGGCAAAGCATAATTCTACCCCTGCCACTCTTCCTACAAGTGGCTAAATGGGAAACTAAAAGTAAAACCCCACTTTCAGGAACTAGAATAGATACTGCGATAGGCATTTTCTTGTGTTATCAAGATGTGCTGAGATATCCTTCTGCTTTAATATGAAATTCTAATGCCTTTTGTTAAGATAATAGCGTGGGATAGAATCCCACATGGAATAAAAGCAAGATGTTGTAAGACTTAGGTACCATTTGAAATTGCAATAACAAGTAGCAGATTTTAGGCCAAAATTGGGAGTAATTTAGTCGGTTCATATGGACCCGTTTTTCCTCCTAATTTTAGCCAAACTGGCCCCTTGATATAGATAAACTCTCCAACCTCAATGACTTAACTTTTAATGTGGGTTCTCCCAAATCCATATCAAAATTCTTTCAACACCTTCTATCAGAAATTACAACAAAAAACAAAAAGAAAAAGAAAAGGAATTACAACTGATGAGAAGAACAAAAGTGGAAAAACAAGTATTAATTGCTTTAGAACTTGTCTACATTGGTATTGCAGTATTTATAGATTGTGTTATAGTTCTGGTAAATTAGATTCTTTATTATTTTATACCTTGAAAAATAGATGGAGAATTCATATGCCAAGGGAAGCGAGGTCCTAATAATAAAGCGAACCTGCGGAAAAAGCAAATTAGAATCCTTAGTTTATCGTTATAGGCTATAGCAAGAACAGGAGCTTAAATACTATTTGCAGCTTCATTTATGACATGTTACCTTGCCACCAATTTCCTCTAGAAGCACCATTTGAATTGTTTCCATTAGGATCATCTTCTTCCCCATCTTTATTGAACTAATTCATTCACAAAGCACATTAGCACATTTACTTGATGCATAATCTAAATTATTTGGTGTGCTGATAATAGCACAGGCTATCTACAATTGAAGACTTACTAGGGGATATGATCCAGAAATATTATGACTATTTGGATGCTGAGAATAATTATCTTGCCCACCGTAGTAAAGTGATGAACTTAGATGACATGGTTCTGCTCTTTCTTCCATAAAAATTGAGTTTCTGTCCTTGTTGTGCATGTTATGTTTTGCAGCTTCGCTAGTCATAGCTGTATTGTTACAAAATACACAATATAAGGCAATTTTCTCCAAGCTTTTCACTATAAACAAGTGATGATCAATTCAAAATACACAATATAAGGCAATTTTCTCCAAGCTTTTCACTATAAACAAGTGATGATCAATTCAAGAAAATGCAGGGAAATGGATGTCATACTTCTTTCAAGTTCTTTACTATATAACGATATAGAACAGGCCTAATATAACAAACCTGGAGCTCCTTGTTTTGTGTTCCAACCATGATTTCCGGAAGACTGCTTTTGCCAGGTTCCTATCATCTCAGTGCCAGAAGGTTTCTTTCCTAAAACCTGAACAACCAAGAACAAAGTTCAGATGTAAATTATCATTAGTCTAATAATCTTGTGGTCGAACACCTAATGACCGTCTTATATTGTAAGAGATTAGGAATTCAAATTTTGATATTTTCAATCGCTTTCAAAAATCTTCAATGTAGCATAAAAGAAAGAAGAATTTCTAAATTAAGCAAGTTTACCTTTATAGTTCAGTTCAAAATTGGCAGTCTATATCACAATTTACATCAAACAAAAAGCACAAAACTAAAAAAGGAAAGAAGAAAAGCATAAAACCATATATAGTATGCACTTCACGAGCAACTTCCAAGTTATAAAACTGTATAAACCTTCCCTTCCCTCCTCATTTTCCAAATTATAAAACTGTACGCTCAACATTCAAAAACATATAGAAAGCCTGAAAAGAAATTTAAGTTTCATAATGTAAGTAAATGATGTAACTATACCTTAGACGGAGGTGGAAAGATAGAAGCAAAGATTCCAGTTGAAGTTGGTGGGGGCTCTTTTGTGCCAAAAAGATCAGCTGTGAATGAAGAAGAAGAAGAAGAAGAAGAATGTTTTTCCTTCTTAGAGTCCATTGTTGCCTTTTCTGTACCTTGACTAACTAACCAACTACACTAACAACCAGTCTCCAAGAAACACTACAAGTTTATTAAAACAGAAGAAGGAAGAAATCTAAACTGCCTTGTGAAATCATCAATTATGTCTCATATATATATATACAGTTCTACAGACTACACCAGACGGCACTGGTTGTGCCGCCCATGTGCCCTTCTTCAACAAGAAAAAGGAAAAAGAAAGAAAGCCCACTCTTTTATTTTATTTTAGTAATTAAGATATCTTTCTTTCTTTTTTTTTTTTTTTTTTTTTTTTTTTTTTTTTTTTTTTTTTTTTTTTTTTTGGGAAATCTGATATGGGAACTTTTTTTTCTCTGCAATTCTCACATTCTCTTCTTCTCTCTTGTAAAATATAATATCCTACTTCCACCGCCACCACCATGATCATCATCTTTTTCTCAAGAAATACAAATGGATAAGTGCCACGTGGGGTCCACATGTCATCCTAATTGGACAAGCCAATGAGTGACGTGTGTCCTGTAATGGATAATTGCAAGTTTGCAACCTCTCTTTGTTTTGTAGAGTCACATAAACTTCCCCAATTCAAATGACCCCATATCTCTAAAAGTAACAAAGGTTTTTTTATTTTTCCTTATTTTAATTTTATTCTCATCATCTTTCCTAACAAATGGTCCTTCCTAAAAGTAACTTTATTGAATATTAATTCCAACTAAGCATAGCCATGGATTAATTTTAAATCGGAATCAAATTGGTTAAGTTAAAAATTAACTGCAGTCAATAATTTTTTTATTTCCATTTGAAATTGAAACTATATGCAATAACTGATCTCGATTATTCATTTTTTAGAATCAAAACTGCCCAATTCTAATTGGAACCAAAAACCAAAAAATATTATCTTTTACTATTTATTTATGTAATAAAACTAAAAAATTTTTTAATTCATTGGAGATTTTTAAAGATCAAAATAACACTGCGGGGTTGATAATCTGAATAGGATAGCTCAGTGACAAAGAGCTTGTGCAAGCATGATCATCATCATGGGTTCAATTTTCCGCATTACAAACTCCCCTTGAAATCAACTAGCCCTTTTGGTGGAAATTTGTCAAGTTTGTGGACCACTGTTAAATCACACTATTCCTTAAAATGGAAGTAATGGTTCTAGAGCCGTATGCATGTGAGCATATCCAACTTGAAGATTTTAAGAGTGAAAAGGAGATTTCAAGAAATCTCCAGTCTTTGATCAATCCAAAACAAGATAACTAGATAAGGTTTGTTTTTCCACTCAATATCCCTTTTGTACGTGGATAGTTGACTGCATTGTTGCCTTCAATTGTCAAACTATAGTTACTTTCTTTCTATACCAATATGCCATTCAAATCCAGATCTACCAAATTCATAAAGGCCAAGCAATTGTACTTTCTCCTCTTTTTTTTTTTTTTTAATTTGTTTAATAATTAGAAAAATAAAAGAATTCATAAATTATATATCTTCGGTCAAATCTCATAGATTTACCCTGAAATTTATGTGATTTGCCTTGTAACACCTTCAAATTTTCAGAGATCTATTACGACTCTACGCTTTTACATTTCAGTAATAACTATACCCATCGACAAAATAAAATATAAAAATATAAATCATGATTGAATTCTTACAAAGTTGTTATTTCATTTTGGTGAGGAGTATAATTATTACTGAAATGTAAAAGTATATAATCGTGATAGGTTCCCACAAACTTGAGAGCGCCACAAGACAAATCGCATAAACTTTAGGGTAAATTGGGTAAATTTATGTATTAAGCCTCTTTTTTTTTTTTATTCATATCGAATACAACAGGTGAAAATCCTCGTGGGTCAAAAGAATTTATTTTGAAACTTCTCACTATCTATATAAATGGAATACTAAACAGATCGCAACTGATCGGCTATTAAAAGGCAAGATATTTGTTTTTAAAAAAAAAATTTAAAAAAGTACTTTAGAGTAATAAATTCAATCACCAAAGAACTTATTCTTTGGAATAAAGTTCTTCCAAATCATATTTTTGGTTAATTTAACTAATATCTGAAGTGGGGTTTCTTAAACTGTAACAAGATTCCAATTTGAAACAACAATTAACAGAATATTGGATTAATTTGATAAGAATCATCCAATGATTAACGTAAAGCCTAATGCGAAACTCCTCGATTGGCTTGGCGGCTCACTTGCATTTTGACTTTAGTGGCAAAAAGTTTTGCCAAATTGGGTCATTTTTCCACATGATTAGGCTTTGGAAGGTGGGGTTTGGTCACGGAAATACAAGCAACCTCCTCCTTTAGTCCGGTTTATCCACAACTTGGGGATATAAAATTCATTCCAATATTCCTGATTTCCTTCGTAAAAAAAATAAATAAATAAAAGATATATTTGTTCCAATAAAAAATAAATATAAACGAACCTAAAAGGGATGGTTCAGTGGCAAAGAATATTTGCGGGATTGATCATTATGATTTAGCTTATAGATTCGATCACCAACCATTTTACCTCCGAGGCGAACGAAAATTAATCAGATTTGTGGACAGTTAAATGGACACGGGCCTAATATCTCGTGCAAGTATCAAATAAAAATAAAGATAAACTTGCTTTTACATTTTCTACATCTTATCTGTTAATAAATTTTATTAGTAATTTAATTTAATTAGTTATTAGTTTCCTATTTAAATTTAAATTTTATTCAATGAACGATAAAAATAAAAAATATTAAAAGAAAATAAAAATCTTTAATAGTGTGTATATATATATTGTGTGTGTTATACACACGTGTGTGTATTTATTTTTTTGTGTATATATAAAATATTATAGTAACCAGCATTTTATGTATTCAATTTTGAATTTGTGCGGCCTCACATATGTTTATTTAACTTTATTTTATTATAATTACTATTGTTTATTTTCAACAGAAAATCATTATTTTCTATAAAAAAATAACTATTATATTTTTACTGTTGAGTGAAAGTTATATTTAATATTAATATTAGAGTATATTAGGAAAAAGTAGGAGCAAAATTTACATTCACACAATATTAATTAATTTTTTTTAATTTGCGTGAAAATTGAAATCAGTCTACACTCGTGGGACAAAGAGAGTATAAAAAGAAAAAATGAACGATTTTGAAAACGTGGGCGGCAGGATTCGAACCTGCGCGGGCAGAGCCCACATGATTTCTAGTCATGCCCGATAACCACTCCGGCACGCCCACTTTGCCTGTTTGCTCTATTTTTTTTCCATTTTCACCGTTTGCGAACCATTTTCCCCTTCTTCAACCTACTGATGCCCTCATATGAATATTGAGATTTTTCTATGTTATATAATTTAAAATTTTTTCCAAGTAAACCTTTATTGAAATAATGATGTGAGAAAAATTGAAAATTATGGAATGTGAATGAAGAAAAACAGAAGTGATTCAAACATAAAAAAGTGAATATATAGATACATAAAATTAAATTAATATTTTATGGTATTACAATCGTAGTTAAAAGTTTAAATATAGAAAACTTGAAAGTGTTATTAATTAGGTATAAATATATAATAAATTTTATTTCTACTCCGCAACTAAAAAAATCCTGTTATAATATAATTATTTAGTTTTGTGTGATGCACTGTAGGTATAGCTAAATTAGCACAAGTAGTATCACTTAATATAAGCATATTCTTCAAGCTTTAAGCTGGTGAAATAGCACATATTTAAAAAGATTAACTTTGACAAATTCGCAGGCTCAAATAAATCATAAATCAAAACCAACATTTCAATTTGACTTAAAAGAAAGAATAAAACTCATATGTGGAGTAGTTATTTATGAATCCAAAAAATATCTATTTTGAATTATATTGCATCAAGTTTGATCAACTGAAAGAGTCCCCATAGTCCACCATTCAGCTCCATCCTCCGAGGGGAAAATTACAAGGAAATATCACAGCTTTACGAAATTCAAATCCATGGCAATGTGGTATGTGTTCTTGCATAGAAAAGCCAACTCTCACTTTAAGCGGTTGAGAAATGAGCATGCCCTTCAAGAAAGGAATGAATTTGGATTGAGGAGAATGGTGGCATCAAATTAGTATTACACATGAAACAATTATGTAATGCAACCAGACACATGCACAAACATATAGAGAAAACAGAAGCAGCAGACTTGACTTCAAACCAACTAAAGTAATGAGTTTGAGTACATAAACAGCATTAGTTTAGTAGAACACGCAGAGAAAGACCTTAGCAATCAGGAACAAATTACTTATTTCATGCCAAGTTCTGGGTTTGTTGGGAACTCCTAATTTACAATGTCTCTATTGCCTCTAAACAAGCCAATGAACATCTCCAAAGAAGCATGAACAAAGTGTGATACGAAGGAAAATATCTAAATATAGATAGTACCTCATGCACACCTTAGTGAATGCCAAATATCTCTTCCGGAGGATCATAGAAATGTTTTTCAGGGAACAGCTCTTCATAATCTTGCTTCACTCTGTTTCTCAAAAGTGGATGTGGTAGAAGCCCCTTTAACAAAATCCTAAACGGTAATTCATCCGGTGGATCTGGTGACTTCTTCATGTCCTCATATATATTCATGGCATCAGCAGGAGACCCATCCCTCAAGAATCCTCTGATGATTTCTGTGTACATTTGAGAATCTGGGAACAAATTCTCATTTCTCATCACTTCCCATAGCTTCATTGCTTCATCCATTTTCCCGCCTCTTGTTAATGCAATGATCAAATCCTTATAGAGATAGACATCAGGCTGATACCAGTCTTGCTTTTGAATCACTTGAAAAATCTGAAAATAAATTTCAATGATTGGACCATCAGAATTTCTTTATTCTATATCTTTTTACTTCCAAAATGCTTTGTTTTGCTCTATGAGATGGGTCTATTATTTAGATTTCTTTCTTGTTTTGTTACTGAATTTAGTGAATTTACGTACACATTTTTCTTTTCTTGTTTTGTTAACTGAAATTTAGTGAATTTAACGTACACATAAAAAAATTTTTGCAGACTAAAAAAGTTTTGGTTTCTAATCAAAATGCTTTGTTTTGCTCTATGAGATGGGTCTATTATTTAGATTTCTTTCTTGTTTTGTTACTGAATTTAGTGAATTTACGTACACATAAAAATTTTTGCAGATAAAAAAGTTTTGTTTTCTAATTCTTCCGTTTATTTTGGTTCATCAACGTTATGGAGACAAGGAAATAAATTGAAGTCATACTCATAGTTATTACATGATACTGCAAGGTTAAAGTAGTGATGCAATTCCATAGGAATAAGCTTAAATAAGGCCTAACTCATGAAGACTCTTTTCACTACACAGTATAAGTTTTCCTAATAATGTTAAGTTAATTATCCAGATAATAGAGCAATGACCAAGAGCCAATATTTCATTGAAGCATTCTATCAAACAACTTAGAAGCAGAAGAGTATAAACCCAAGCTGCCTCCACACCTTCATTGAACTAAAAAATAACAACACTAAATCAAGAACAATAAATATCAAATGAGAAATTTTAAGTACAAAACAAATGGGATTTTTAAAAAAAAATTAAAGAAAGAAAAGGAACAGTGAAGAACGAAAAAAGAAAGAAACTTTAGCAATAAAAGAACAAACCCACAAAATCAAGAAAGAGAACAAATAAACTAGCAGTCACCTTGGTAGCCAAAGAGACCTCTTCTTGGCGCTCAAGTTCAGTTAATACAGCAATCATGTCCATTTTCAACAGCCTCAAAACATGGTTTTTTATAAACCTTTGAAGCTTCTCTTCATCATCTTTAAACCTCTTTAATCCTTGAATTACAAAAAGCGCTTCTTTGCCTATAAGCTTCTTGCCTCTCCAAAGGGGTCCTCTCGGCCTCCCATCGTGGTATTGCCTTAACCCACAAAAGTAACTGTATGATAATATATTTGAATCTGAATATGAAATTTGGGGCTTCGAAGGTAATGAGATTGGTATTGTTGGTTTAACCGTTTGGTTTTGAAGGAATACTGCACTGAGTTTTGCTATTTTTGATCTTGAAAACGCGCGAACAGCCATTACAAGTCTATTTAGTAGAATTGGGCTACAAGTCATACAAAGGTTTTGGCAGAGGAGCAATAGGGAGCAGAACAATGACTATTTATTTACTCTAATATCTCAGAAAATCTTCAAAATAAATTAGAAATACATAATTTAATACAAGTACAAATTAGGAGAAAAATGTAATTTTTGAATAATATAACATATGGCATGAACAATAAGTTGGTTACAAAACAGTCCTCGTGACTTTAGTAAATTCACAATTTTTTACGCGCTTTCTATACATTATTCATGCAAATGTTGATATTGGGAAGAACCAAACATTAATTAGAAGATGAGATTGCATAAATTATCAATAATTTAGAATAAGTATATTTATTTATTTATTTGTCAAGTCATCTTTGAAATTCTGCCATATTTATATATTTTTAAATTATATAAATATATTTTGAGTATTAATTTATAGGCCCGTGCCCTAAGTTTTAAAATACACAGTTTTTATTTTTAATATTTGTATGAACTGGAACATAAGTAGGCCAATATTTGGACTGGACCAAAAAACTAAAACCCCACAAATGTAAGTATGTGTAGGGATCGTAAGGGGCATTCCGAGAATTGAACTCGGGACCTCTCGCACCCTAAGCGAGAATCATACCACTAGACCAAATGCCCATCACTTGCTTATCAACCCGAAAACTTGGATAATAAATGGTCAAATATTTGTAGTCATTTAGAGGTTTCAGAAGGGTGTCTCTGTATCTGTATGAACTTATATTATTCAGTAAAGAAAGCTGCATATATTAGAAAGAAGCATGATGATGGGTTACTTGGACAGAATTGTATACTCTTGATCCAGAGAATGGATATGATCGAAAAACACCTTTGGCATATTCAAAGGAAGGAGACAAAGTTCTGTTGGTTAAGAATCGTACGAGAATTACATGGTTTGACCTTAAAGGGTAAACATATGAACATCTTGCAATTCCCAACCTTCCTTCGCACTACATTCAGTTGTTTCTTGGGAAAGCTTTGTCACTTGGTGATGACAGTGAGTTTGACGGAAATGTCAAGTTGGGAGAACTTCTTAGTGATTGGGAATACAACTGACAACCTTCTGATGACTATAGGACCAACCAATAATAGTTAAATAACTATAGGACCCATTTTAAAAAAATAAATGCTAACAAATATATTTTAGTTTGTCATTCCATATATATTTTAATTCTTGCACCAAAGGAACTGTCTTTAAATTCCTCCATCTTTCTTTTTCTTGATTCAAGCTTAATTTTCAACTAAAAACCATATCAAGATCAGATTCACTGTCATCACCAAGCGAAACAAGACTTTCCCAACAAACTTGTAGTTCTTTCACCGACGCCATTCCAAGAATCTCAGCAGTTTCTCCTCTTTTCTCATGGAGGTCATACCAAAATATATTCCTATCATCAACATTCAATAGAACGTTTTCTCTATTCTCCGAATATGCTGCAGGTTTAAGTTTAACATATGCAAAACGCTCAGGAAACTTCTCTCGGTTAACTTTGTGTAGAATTTGCTCCAAATAAACTCGTTTCCTTTCTTCTTTCTAAGATAAACCTCACCCTTCTTTCTACGATTATTGAACAATCCCACACAGAGACACCCATCTACAACGTTCAAACTCAGCTGGGGTTTTTTGGTTCTACTGTCAGGCCGCTTTACAACGGAGAATTCCTCATCTGCCAGATCGAAACTAACAATTGCTCCTGGTCTATCCATTCCTCTAGCAGAAAGTAATAAACAGTGCAAAGCACCGTTAGCCAAGTATCCAGGAGAAAAGTTAAACACATATCCAGTGTAACAGAAATCCGGAAGCCTTCTCCAGCTATTGGTTCTCAAGGAAAAAATCCAAACTTCATAGATAAGCCCAAAAAGTACTGGTTGAGAAAACGTCACAACTTTATAGTCATCAGCAGAAGATTCATCTCCCAATCCCCCTCCGTGCATAGGATATGGAGGGTAATTAGTATTAGCTCTGAAAATAGGAAGTATGTTGCAGCCCCTAGTGAAAGGATTCCACAGAGCAAGTCTTTCTTTATCCTTCGTGAACAAGAGAAGTAAACCATTACAAGAACCATAGATTGTTGTTAGACTATTTCTTAATAGGATGTGGATCTTTTTCGCTTCATACAGTCCATCCTCAAAATCTGCTGTGTAAATAGGATCGGATCAAGATCTGCTATGCAAATATGGGACGGTGGAAGGTGAGAACTCTTTGCTTGAGAATTAGCTTAAGGTGAGTTCTGGTTTCCATGGATCTTTTAATTAAGATGTGCCTTTTTGAAATTAGGACTATCGATGAGATTGCAGAATTGTTTCGAAACGCATCTTAAATGCCAAAGAGGTTTTACTGGAAGAAACAACAGGATTTCTGTAATTAAATCTGAATGTAAGTTCGCCATTGTTTGTTGGGAAATTTTTTTTTTCTTTTTTTGAAGAGTTTCTAAGGAAAATTCTTGGCTGCCCCCTTAGGTTTTGGGAATATATATAATATATATAGTTGACGAAATCCAATTCCGAATTATATAGTTTTGGCAGAAAAATATTTTTTTCCTGTTTTAATATATTATCTAATTATAATTTACTGTTGTGATATGTGATTTAAAATTCTTTTACTGTAAGCTTGTAATAAAAAAATTATATTATAATTTTAAAATATATTTAATAATGAAATTAATATAATTACATCATAAAATACAATAATTAATATAAGGAATTTGTAAACGACTTAATTCACGCGCCTATTAAACGAACCAAGCCTGCCTACTTCCATATGCGGAAAAGAAAGTGTACACATGTGTTTAAGTTAGGGTCTAAAAGGGTTAATTTGATTTTGGAACCAAAATAAAAATCAAAATTATAAAAGATTAAACATAAAGCTGAAATATTAAAAAATCGAATGACTAACCTATGGGTTCTCAATTGATAATATAGGAAAAGCTTTTAAGTTCGATAAGCACTACATCTGTAAAGAGAGGCGAAAAACCTTAACTGTGATTAAATCTGAACTGAAGTTAATCGATTCCTGATAATAGGGTTCGAACACCAATAATTAAAAAAAAAAAAAAAAGAATAACTGAACTAAAAGCAAAAAAAAAAAATTCAGTTTAGTTCAGTTTTCAATTTTCTCCGGAGTTTGCTGACTCCTAGTTTGAGTGGAAGAACCGAAGGTATTTTAGATATAAAAATATCAATTCGGCGGCCACAAGTTATAGCAATACACATCCAAATAGGATTTCACTTAGCCAAGGCTTATTAAGTAGCTTTTCTTTCCTTAATTTTAGGTTTAACTTTATTCGAATAAATTAATTGACTGCTTCTGGCCGGACGGTAAATACAGAGAGCACGACGAAACGACGATGTCGCTTCCTCCAGAAATAATCGTTGATATTTTCTTGAAGCTTCCAGTAAAGCCTCTGCTACGTTTTAGATGCCTTTCAAAATCAATGTGCAGTACAATAGATGATTCAGATTTCATCAAGGCTCATCTCAATAGGTCAATTGAAACTAACACCCACAAGAAGCTGATTCTTTTTGGCCATACAAAAACTTCCACAGTGATATCAGGGATTTACGCGGTGGATTTGTCCGACGGACTCAAAGAATCAGTTAAGCTCGACAACTCACTCAATCATGGACGGTTCAGCGTCATAGATTGCTGCAGCGGTTTGTTTCTCTTACTTGAACCCAGAATAATCAACTCATTGAACACAGTGAAACTTGTGCTCTGGAATCCGTTTACTAAACGGTACAAAAGATTAACAGATCCCCCAGTTGAATCTTCTAGTATGTTTAAGCCACTTCAACAGTACAGTTACAGATACTTCGATAGTTTCGGGCTGGGGTATGATGCTGCCAGGAATGACCATAAGGTTGTGAGGATTCTTTATGAAAAACCGAAAGAAGTTTGGATTTATAGTTTGAGATCTGATTCTTGGAGAAAAGTTGAAGATTGGTGTCAGATTGCGTTAGGTGTAATGGGTATGTTTGTTAATGGTGTTATGTATTTTGAAGGTGAAAATCTTGAAAACATTGTTTCTTTTGATTTTGCAACAGAGAAGTTTTCCATAATGCCATTCCCTGAAGGTTACGAAAAAAGTTGTAGTCATTTACGTGTTTTAGAAGGGCGACTCTGTTTGTGTACGCTTGGACGCCATAGAACACTTGACATCTATGTTGGTGATAAGCATGAAGATGGGCTAACTTGGAGCAAATTGATTAAGATTCCAGATTATCAGACTCATACTGATCATATTCGAAATTTGAGACCTTTGTGCTATTCCAGGGAAGGAGATAAGATTTTGCTTATTGAGGAAAGAGATGATTTTGTTTGGTATGACCTCAACAAGAAAACAACTGAAAGCATCCAAACAGTATGTGATATCAAAAAACACTATCGTTTGAAATTTTTCAATCTATCAAACAACACTACTTGTTGGGAGAGTCTTGTTTCCCTTGGGTGATGATAATATTGACCAGAGCTCCATTAGTTCCTGCAGATTGGCTTGGAATTTTCTGATTTTTGGGTTTATGTTTCAGTCTCTGCTGCTCCTCTTTTTTGGGTTGTTATGGTTAGATTAGGCAGTCTGTTTTCTGTAATCTCATTCTTCTGTTCTTTTCTGCATTTTTTGTTCTATGTATAGCCTTGGTTCTTACCGGAAAAAACATACATATTGGTGAGTTCAAAGGAGGTCATTATAGGCACCTTGAACCACCCTTATATTTATATATACAAAACTATGATAATGAAATGAAGTACAATACACCAATTACTTGTTGTATCCCAACATAGTTTAAAATTTTTACACAAAAATTAAGAAAATAATTAATTCTTTTATATTATAAAAAAATCAAAAGTAATTTAAATAAATTATCTTTGAGGTCGCTTCATTGTTATACATGTAATAAATAAGGATAAAATTGAAAAAATATCATTTACTATTTCTTAAAATATTCAAAAAAGCTTTTATATTTTAGAACTATTTAAAAATTTTCGTTATAACTTAAAGTTACTTTCTTAATATACTACTTACATTTGGAATTTCACGTTCCTTAAGAAAACTATTAAATTTATCTAAATTACAATAAATTATTGAGTAAATTCACTATATTATCCTTAATTTAATACACGTTCCTTAAGAAAAACTATTAAATTTATCTAAATACAATTAAATATGAGTAAAATTCACTATATTATGCCTTAATTAATACTAATTCTCTAAGAAAACCATTAATTTAAGTAATAATTATTTAATTTAATACTAATTCTCTAAGAAAACCATTAAATTTAAGTAATAATTATTGGTCATATACAAAGGGTAAACATAGAAAAAAAAAGATTTATTACTTCTTAAGACCATAAATGTGACAAGTATTTTCGAACAAATTATTTTCTCAAATGTGATAAATATTTTAGAATGGAGGTAGTATATATACATATAAAAGGTGTTCAATTTCAATTATTAATCAATTCAATTAAAGAATAAGGAATAAAATTTTCCTAATATTAAAAAAATAATAAAAAAGGGTAAGAAGTTATGTTAAATAGGGTGAATAAATTATCCTATGAGGCTTCATACATTCATATACTGATTTTTTTTTACCAGCAAATTAATTTATTTTATTAATATAAATCAGGAAAAACTTAATATTTTTAGGTAACTAAATCCGAACCATCCGGCTTCCTTGTAACCCAAATCTAATTTAATAATTTAAGTAAAAAAATCCGAAAACTAAAAATATTCTTATACTTATCTAATTATTTTATAAGATTTTTTATATTAGGAATTTTCAAAGATTGGTCTCGTCTTTTTAGACCAAAGGTTCCTGTTTAGCGGTGTATTGTTTTTCTTTTTTAGTTGTTGCATGACATTTATTGTTCCTAATATTAAACTCCAATTGAATGTCTAATTAAATTGTATTCAATATAATAGCAAAAAAATATAAAACTGTATTTTAAAATACCAAAATATATTTGTTCAATTTTTTTATTTATTTTAATAAAAATTCTTAAACAATTCATATTCAATTAATAGTCTATTCAATTGAGGAATTCTTTTTAATTTTTTCAACCAATAAAATTAAAATTTTTAAAAATATTTTTTATCTATTTCAATACTTCCTCTCCTTATTTTCTACTTGTATAGGAGACAATAGATAGATTATTATGATAAATATTCCAAAAAAGGTAAAATATTATTTCTACTTCTGGCAGAAACATTTATAAATAATATAATTATATATCTTTTTTCTCTCTGGTTCATCAAACTCTAATTTTAATTGGAGTTGTCGCTATTAATTAACAGTAGTCTCTACTTTTTACTTTTTCTTTTGCTTATTCTTTTATTCCCTTTTAATAAACACATATCTATTTTTCATTAGATCTATTTTTCTTTGTTATTTTGTTATTATTGTTTTGTCTATATATTTGGAGTTTTTTTTATCACTTCTTTCATGATGGTTTGATCCCTTCTCTGTGAGTGTTTAGTACTAAATAAAAAGTTTAATATTTGATTTTATTTAGTTGGTTTATTTAGATCTTTGGTTTGTTGATGTGTATCTTCGATCAATTGAGTCTTACAGTGCGGTTTGTTCTTCCTCTGCTACTGCTATTGATGTATATAGTGGCGGGAACTCATCCATATCTAATAAATTTTTTGGAAAAGAATCCAAGTATTGAAAATCCAAAGAAGTTTTTTGTCATTTAAATTAATTAAATGACCAGTTGCTACTAATTATCTTCAAGTGAAAAAATATAATATTGTCTCTTTTAATTTTATTTTTATTATTTAAAATAATATAGATAATTCCTTTGATTTGTTAAAAAATCAACAAACTCTCTATTAATTATGGTTGTAATAAGAATCAATTTGTTAATTTTCTTGCAAGGAAAGGAGTTGAGGCGTAAGATGTTTTCTTAGCTTAGATTTAAATTTTCGTTTGGATTTCTTTTTATTTATGTATTATCTTTTCCTAACTCAGGAAAATAAGTAATTCTTGTTTAGTCTATTTTGATCTATTTTAGTTTTCAAGTTTTTCACTTAACATTTTCGAGTTAGGTTTAGGTATAAAGAGAAGTCTGATGGTTCGGATTTAGTTGCCTGAAAATGTTAAATTTTTCTTGGACAATATAATTTAACAAAAATTATTTTTACTGATAAAAAAAGTATTTGTAATACTTCATATTAACATTGATGAATTATATTTTTCAAAAAAAAATATATATAAATGATTTATTATGCCATATACTTCAAATTGTCAAATTGAATCAGTAATCAAATAAATTTCAATTATTTTAGCATTTTCAAAATTATTTGATTTATCTATTAATTCATCAATTTTCAATAAACTTAATACTTTATACTTCCACTTTAAACCTAAGAAAATATTCAATTGATCTAAAATAGTATATCATAAGCTCTAATAAGCCCCTAAAAACTCAAAAATCAAAGCACTAAACTTTAAAATCTTTAGATATAAACTCTAAAACCTTAAAACTCTAAGGCTTAAATTCTAATTTTATTATTTTAAGGGGGGCCCGTAAGATATATTTTTCCAAATCTCATATATATATATATATTCACATCCAAATACAATTTCACTTAAATTGCAACTTTTTTTTTTCTTAAACCTTTTTTATTTTGATTTTAGGTTTAGCTTATTCGAATCAACAACACACACAGCACAGAGAAACGAGATGTCGCTTCTTCCAGAAATAATCTTTGACATCTTTTTGCGGCTGCCGGTAAAGCCTCTGCTACGTTTTAGAAGCCTTTCAAAATTAACGTGCTCTTTCAAAATTAACGTGCTCTACAATCGATGATTCAGATTTCATCAAGGCTCATCTTAACAGGTCAATTGAAACCAACAGCCACAAAAAGCTGGTTCTCGATGGCCATGCACCAACTTTCCCTCAGCTTTACGCCTTGGATTTCGACGACGGGCTCAAACAACCAGTTGAGCTCGATGATCCACTCAAACATAGTCATGGATGGTTCGGCTACCATATCTCAGGTTCCTGCAGCGGTTTGCTTCTATTACTTGGCGAGAACACATTAAAGACAGTGAAACTTGGGTTATGGAATCCGTTTACTAAACGGTACAAAATATTAACAGATCCCGCAGTTAGTATTATTTGGTCTTCCAATTACAGAAGGTGCGATAGTTTTGGGCTTGGGTACGATGATACCAGCAATGACTATAGGGTTGTGAGGATTCTACAAGAGATGCAGAGAGAAGTTTGGATTTATAGTTTGAGATCTAATTCTTGGAGAAAACTTGATGTTTGGTGCGAGCTCTCCCAAGGTGATATGGGGGTCTTTGTTAATGGTGTTCTTTATTTTCATGGGAAAAATTTGGAGACCATTGTTGCTTTTGATATTGCAACAGAGACGTTCTGCACAATCCCATTACCTGAATGCTACATACCTCAAGGTTTCCGACATACAAGAGGTTTATGTGTTTTAGAAGGGAAATTATGTTGTTGTTAATATGGAGAAAATGGAGTTGATATCTATGTTGGTGATCAGCATGAAGATGGGCTAACTTGGAGCAAACTCACTATGATTACATATAAATATAATTTTCTAGTGACACCTGTTTTCTATTCTGGGGAAGGAGATAAGATTTTATATATTGAGGAAAATAATGAGGTTGTTTGGTATGACTTCAACAGGGAAACACATGAAAGATTCCAAACAGTACCAAGTTATATCTTTTGATCATTCAAGTACTATTTGTTGGGAAAGTCTTGTTTCCCTTGGTGATGATGCCATTCCTGTTGATTAGTTTGCATTTTATGATTTCCCAATTCGTATTTAGTCTGCTCATCTTCATTTTTGGGTTGTGATAGGTTAACATTTTCAGGAATCTATCTCAATACACCAAATTTTGTGAAAGAACCGTACTGTACTCATCTAGAATTTTGAATATTTGATTTATTGGTCATCATCTAGAATTTTGAATGTTTGATTAACTAGTCTTTTTTTTTTTTTTACTAACAATAGTTCTAGGGCAAAGGGGAAATGAATGCACATAGTCCTTATATGATAATTTAAGAAATCATAAGAGTCAAATTTAAGTACTCTTGTAAAAGAGACAAACAACATGTACATTTTTTAAATGGCCATTTAAAATATTTTAAATCATACTAAAATTTTTTTAATATCTTTAAAAATTAAAAATTTTTAATATTTTTTTATCTCTCTCATAATTAAAACCTTTTAAATTACAATCAAACATTATATTTTTTTTTCTATTGGTCATGACTAATGATATTCTAAAATATCTCAAATTTTACTAAAAATATTTTAAAAACAGAGAACCATATTTGATTGACCGAAGTAAAAGATATCTACCACTCCAAATATAAGTGAGAATCGGACCACATCTGATTGACAATAATTAACTTACTTGTTTTGGACGTATATATATTCACATCCAAATTAGGTTTTCACATTACTCTCAACCATAAGTGTTTTAATCAATTTGGTGAATTCAGGGGATAGCTACCCCTATCGTGTAGCTCATAGTGTTATCTTGGCCCATCGGGCCTCCCAATCAATAAAAAAAAAGGATTTCACTTAAACTTTATTTATTTCCATAAAATAACTTGCAGTGAAATATTTTCCATAATTTCCATAATTTAGGTTGTTCAGAAAAATAAGTCAAGAGAAAATATTTTGTTGGTCAAAAGAAAATTAAGTCATTTTAAGGAAAATGACTTCCCATTTTCGATAGAATAAAATATTTTCCAGATATTGACAGACTTATTATAACTTTATTAATCCTTTTTTTTTTAAATTTATTAATCATCGGTCACCACTATCACCACTCACCATTTATCATCAGCCACCACCATAGGTTACCGTCGACTTTCATAATTTACCCTTTTTTTTTTTTTGCATTCTTCACATTTTTAATAATAAAATTTTTAAGATACAAAATTTTTATTATTAATAATATTTTTATAGTCTCATGAGAATAAAATTTTAATAATTTTAATTAATTTTTTATATTGCAACCAAACAATAAAAAATAAATCATTTAAAAAATATTTTCAAACAAAACATTTTTCAAATGAGAAACAAACGATTTTTTTTTTTTTTGTTGCATTTAAAAAATATTTTCAAACAGAAACATTTTTCAAAATGAGAAAACAAACGATTTTTTTTTTTTTTGTGTTGTAAAAAGCCATTCCCACGAATTCCGGGGATTCATGTCGAAATAGGGATCACACAAACCCAAGGACTTTAAAAAAAAAAAATAAAAAAAAAAAAAAAAAAAAAAAAAAAAAAAAAACCATCCATTTGTATTTGAAACTCACTAGGAGTCATATTCCAATAGGGATTTTCACTTCATTAAGATTGCCTTTTTTTGTTATTTTCAAGAAATTAGAAAAAAAAAAAAAAACTTTGTCATTTTTGATTTTAGTTTAGGTTTAGCTTTAATTCAATCAACAACTCACTTCTTTTGGGGAAGGCGAAACCACAGAGCACAGGGAAAGGAAGAATGTCGCTTCTTCCGCGAAATAAATCTTTGATATCTTATTGCGGCTGCCGGGTTAAAACCTCTGCGTAGGCGATGTTGTAGAGATGCCTTCAAAAAAAAAAAAAAAAAAAAAAAAAAAAAAAAAAAAAAAACCATCCATCTTGTATTTGAAACTCACTAGGAGTCATATCCAAATAGGATTTCACTCATTAGATTGCCTTTTTGTTATTTTCAAGAATTAGAAAAAAAAAAAAAAAAACTTTGTCATTTTGATTTTAGGTTTAGGTTTAGCTTTAATTCGAATCAACAACTCACTTCTTTTGGCTGGAAGGCGAACACAGAGCACAGGGAAAGGAAGATGTCGCTTCTTCCGGAAATAATCTTTGATATCTTATTGCGGCTGCCGGTAAAACCTCTGCTACGTTTTAGATGCCTTTCAAAAGTAATGTTCTGTACAATCGATGATTCAGATTTCATCAAGGCTCATCTTAACAGGTCAATTGAAACCAACACCCACAAGAAGCTGATTCTTGTTTCCCGTAGACAAACTTTCCCTGTACTTTGCACCTTGGATTTCGACGACGGAATGAAAGAACGAGTTAAGCTCGATGACCCACTTAACCATAGCCATAGATGGTGGGCCTACCGCGTCTTAGGTTGCTGCAACGGTTTGATTCTATTATACGTAGACATCATAAAGAAACTTATCTTATGGAATCCGTTTACTAAACGGCACAAAATATTAAAAGCTCACGCAAATGAATCACTTAGACGCTACGATGGTTTTGGGCTCGGGTACGACGCTGCCAGCAATGACTACAGGATTGTGGTGGTTCCATATAAAATGCCAAAAGAAGTTTGGATTTATAGTTTGAGATGTAATTCTTGGAAAAAAGTTGATGGTATATGGTTCGAGCTCCACCTATGTGATTTGGGGATGTTTGTTAATGGTGTTCTGTATTTTGGTGGGAAATATTTGGACAAGATAGTTGCTTTTGATATTACAACAGAGACTTTCTGCACATACCCATTACCTCAAACTTCCAGATTTTCAAACAATTTGTGTGTTTTAGAGGGGAAACTATGTTTTTATACGTGTACAAGAAATGGAACAATTGAAATTTATGTTGGTGATAAGCAAGAAGATGGGCTAACTTGGAGCAAATTGACAACAATTAGAAGTAATAGTATATTATGTGAAACACCTTTGTTCTATTCCAGGGAGGGGAATAAGGTTTTGGTTTTTGAGGAAGATAATAACGTTGTTTGGTGTGACCTCAACGAGAATGGAATTGAACGGGTCAAGACAGTAAATGATATCAAAAAACACTACCAAGTGATATGTTTTAATTATTCAAGTACAACTTGTTGGGAAAGTCTTGTTTCCCTTGGCCATGATAGTAGAAATTAATTAATTCTTGTTCATGTTTAGTCTCTATTGCTCTTCTTCATTTTTGGGATGTGATGATTAGAAGAGTAGGTAAAATGTTATGTTCGTCTGTTCTTTTCTGCATTTTATTGTGTGTTCAGCCCTTTTTTTTTTTTATTAGCAAAATTATTATTATTATTATTATTATTAGTCTTTCTTCTTCGCAGAACTTTTTCCATCTCCTCTCGTTTTTTCTGCAAATCACTCTCAAGTTGACTCTTCTGAAGCTCAAACTCATGCAGCATTTCCTTTGTCTTACTTTGAGATTTCTCAGCTATTGCAGACTGTTCGTGTTCCATGTTTGCCTCAAAAGATTCTTTTGGCCATTTCAAGATCTTCCAGCTCCCTTTTTATAGTGTCTTCCACTGCCTGTTTTTCATTTTTTATTTTTCTTCTTCTGAAAATAAATCAATTTACATGGTTTTGTTATGCAAATTTATTGTTGTACAAATAAAATTAATTATGCAACACAAAATTACATATAATAAAAACATGGTTAGACATGTATATCTATTTTACTAAACGGAAAATAGCAATCCCTTATTTTAGTTATTTTCTTTCCTCCATGGCCTAAAACTCAGGCTTCTTCCAAATTTATTTAGTCAAGCAGAGATAATGGGGCTTTAAGAACACATGCAATCCAATATCAATTTGCTTAACGATATATACTTAATTTTAGTAATAGGAATAAACCTCTTCTAACAAGAGTACATAAGCTAATAAAACCTCTTCTATGCTGCGGTATATTGTCAAATGAAGGATCTTTCCAATTACATGAACAGTCGCCTATTGCAAAAACCTGGTGGATTTAGAAATCAATTGGAAAGAGGAGAAAATAAGTTCTGAGGCAGCTTTAGAGGAAGCAGCCCAACCCCTCCAATTGCAATCCAAATTAAAGGAAGAGATAAAAAAAAAAGTGCAGGCTTCAGGAAGAGCTGCTTTTGAAGGAGGTCGAAGATTTGAAGCAACAAAACGAGAATTTTGAAGAGAGATAGACTGATTGGAGAAAATGAGTTTGTAGTTGTATAAACAATAAACGACAACATTTATGCTAGAGTGGACAAGATTTTTCCATGTTGGCATAAATTTATATACTTCAGGCTTCTACATACGATCGACCACATGCTCTCATTTATCAGCCTGAAGAAGTACATGAATGATGCAAACAAATGAACCTCAAGTGCATAAGTGGTTCTCCGCAAAGTTAAGGGTGCCGTAGGAATTTTCTTTGAAATCTATGTATTTGGGCTTTTTAGGATAATTTGTATTTTTTTTTTTTTTTTTTTTTTTGAACTTCTCAATGTATTTGGGCTTTTTTAGTGAATATTTGGTATTTTATGATACTTTTAATTTTTTTTATTTTTTTTGTTCTCAAGAGAATTAAGAGGGATTGTTTTTTATTTTTTTTTTTTTTTTTTTTTTTGTCTCAAGAGAAAGAGGGATTTTTTTATCGGATTTGTATATTGTTTGGCCAGGTTTTATTAACATTTTCGGACTAGTTATAAGTGTATTGCGAAAGCCTATTGGCTTGGATAGATTCTTGAAAATATTAAACTTTTATTAGTTCTAGTACAGATGTGAGCAATAGAGCTGACTCTTATAACCTCTGGATGAATTCATTAAACTCCTTATTTTGGTGTGTATAATTTATGTATGTGATTGGCTTCAAATTATTTCGAGTTACGGATCAAACTAAGGAGAAAATTTTAGAGTTGGGTTATAATTTGCTGATTGGCAATGAATATGTATTCTGCAAGTGCATGGGTCGTATAAGTAACATAGTGAAAAAGATTGTCGAATCCACAGGGATTGGGGTATAGATTACTAATTTAACACGTGTGGTTCGACTAACAGGTAAATCTTCCAATCATACAAATTGATCCAAAATTACTTTTGAATAATTATAGTTTGATTAATTTAGTAATAATTTAATACAAAATTATATTTAGAAAAAACAAAGTAAAAATTATAGTTTAATTATATTGATTAAGTTTTATTAATCTGTATACAAGTCAAATCATGGCAAAAATTATGGGACAGCAGAAAGTAACATTTAACTGTGCAAATTTGTCTCACACGTACATGTACACATATACATAACTTTTTTTAATTCTCACACGTTATCATTGTACATCATATATTATAACTTTTTTAGATTTATATATAGGTATATTATATATACTAATATAAATATATAAGTTAATTAAAATTATATAGATTTTTGAGCACTTTCTATTCCAGTACTAGAGTATTTTTCTAATTTTCTTTTTTTGGGCGAGTTTTTGATTTATAAAAAACATTTTCAGATTAAATTATATTGGTGTAAATTGGGATAATATATTACTTGGTGAATAGATTTCACCGAACAATGTTAAACTTTTATTCTTTAGGTAATCTTTAATATCTTCAACTGATAATTTCCTTTTAGTTGCTGATAATACTAAAGAGCAAATAGATTTGGCTCTGTGGATATATTCGCCAATTATCTCTAGACTCTAGGGGCTTCCATTTAGCTCGCAAGTTATAATCCCAATGCCGGAGGTCTTAAAATGAATAACCTAAACCTTACCAAGCTTTTTTATAATTCATATTAATAACAGTATTTGGATGGTTAGAGATTTGAACTTCTACATAATACCTTCGCTACTCTATATTCATCTATATATTATATATATAAGAAGAATACCTTCGATTTGCATACTTTTTTTTAATAACATACGTTTAAATATTCCTTCTTGGGAAGCTGCAGAAGCGTAAAGATATGTTATGGGGTGCCATCTTCTCAAGCCAACTAAGCCACCTCACGATTTGCCAATTATATTTATTACATATTCTTATTAGAGGATTATAATATAATATGGCAAGAGAGGAATCCTTGAACTTACCTTGCGGGTGGACCAACGTTATTGTTCCTACAGATGAACGAACTTGTTAACTTTTATCTTCAGAAAGAAAGAGTGTGCGAAAAACCAGGACCACTAACCCTGTCGATGCGTATTAGTAAGAAATCTCGCGACATTTACAGTAAATAAATGCCATAGGGAGAATCTTAACGAAATTTAGAGTTATGCAATGGTTTTTCTTTTACGTGTTCATACGTTGGAGAAAGAAGCAGAATTATGCAGAAAAAGATTTGATAAGAACAGCTGGTTCAGGGACTTGGAGTTAATCAGATTATTTTCGAAAGCTTTCCTCGCGTGATGATGGCAAATAAACTTTTATTGGTTCAAGAAAGATTACGTTATTTGAAGCTCAAATTAAAATCAAAATTTGCTACTGCAGATTCATCTATTGATTAATGGACATTGGAATTATGCAAGAGTTTTTCTCTCCGAGGATGATAGGGGTAATTAGTTCACTATTTTTAATTTATTTTTAATATTTATTAGCAATTTTTATATTTATATTTAATAAATAAATTTACTATTAGGAAATAAAAAATTTAAATTAAAACCTTAGCATCGCTAAATTGCAGCACCTGTAATTATTAATAATAGTTAAAGTGCGTATTTGAGCTAAAAAAATAGTTTGAATATTGCTGTAGTGTGTAGATTTGTATATAAAAAGTAGCTGTTATAATTATTAAATTAATTTTAAATTAGTCGGGTGTTTATATATAGTGTAGTTATTTATATGCTAGTTTAAAAATAAAAGTGTTACAAAATGATAAGATAATAGAGAACAAAAGCCACTAAAGTGTTAAAATTATTAGATGCACACAAATAAAAGAGCTTCTATATTAAATAGGAAAAAATCTTATATATATAAGTAAATAGAACTAAAGGTGAAATTGAAGAAATTAAAATTCAGAATTAGGGATTATAAGATGGATGTAGACTTGTATTATCTAATCCTATAAATCAAATTTGATAACATAAATTAATGAATAAAAATTTAAAGGACAAAATCTAAAAACAACTTAAAAACATACAATAAGCTTCACTTTATTGCATAATAGATTGACCACTTTAATACATCACAGTTTTTTTAGAACCATTATTTTAATCAGTTAATTTAATATTAGACAGGATTAAAAATAGCTATAAGAGTTAGGAGCTCAGAAACAGAAATAAGAGTAAACATTGGTGAATAATCTGGTTACAAAATTTAGTCGTAGTCTTTATTATATAAGTCTTTTTAGTCAGTAAATTAATATCTAGAAGTATGTTTATTCGTTGATTAATATTATTAAAAGATAAAATTATATTACTTTAATAATTGAAATTCTTATATAAATAGTAAAAAATTACGTATATCACATAATTATGTAAGATAATTAAACATAATTAGCTACTATATCACAGATGATAATTAATAACAATTGATACAAGATCTAATTAGTTAACAAAGAAATTACAACAATGATATATGTTCGTAATTTATAAGATCATTCTTGTGATGGACCATGCTATGTTTTACTCATCACCTCATGTAGTACATATCACTAACAATAATATTAATATATTATTATAAATAATTAATTTTATATAAGTCGTACAGTATTTTAAAATATAATATGTATATACACAAAACATAATCAAGTGTCTTCATAGTTTTGACAAGCTATTATATATAAAACTATTAGTTAATATATTTAGAGCGTATTTAGAAACTTAGAACTTAATTGAAACGAGGCTTAAGATCATAACGTTAGTTATTTGGTGAAATAAAGTTACAACTTACATAATAATGTTATTTAATTATTTAAGACTAGTTTTATCAATGAAAAATATATCTGGAAACGTTAACACGTTAAACACTATCACAAACACCAACAGTTATTATTATTACATATGGTTTCAAATTACTAGTACGCTTTGTGGCATAAAAAAATTGTCGCGAAAAATTACATTGTATTCTTCACATTTATAACAATTATCCAATTTATCTACAGTGCTGTAAAACAAAATATTTCAATATAATATTTAATTCATATTCGATGTCCTTAAAATAAGAGTAATAGATGACCAATGTCATTATCATCAATATCTATTTAATCAGCTATATACTTCTGTTTGCATCAATAGTTATGTCCTCTGTAAGAATATTAGCTATTACAAAAATGCTATTAGAATATTAACATATGATATAATATATTAAGTTATAACAGATAAATCAACATATAAGAGAGAATAAAAATAGTAAAAAATAATTCGTTGAGTCAATTTTATTCACAAAAAGGACACACGTCACGAAATAGATAATGAAGGAAATTTATAAAAACGGATAGACGGAATTGAATGATATGATCATACTATCCTAAAAAAAAGGTATTGCGTAAGTTAATCAAAGCACATTAATTAATTGCATTATTCCTCAATCATTTGATGGACAATTAGTAAAGCTCATTCAAATTACATCAATAAATTATTTAGCTTTTATGCTGACTCTCTAGCTCATAGAAGGCAGTAACTCATATGTTCGAAATATTTTGGGTTTTCACAAGCTAGATTTAGCAAAACAATAATATTTTAATAATCATTCAATTCCTTATGTTATATACTAAACATGTTTGGATCTCTTATAACTTCTGATTAAGCCATATATAAAATTTGCCTCTTAATTTTATATCCCCTCGCGTAATCTTATAGTTCTAGTACAATTTTCTATTTAAATAAATGCAAATTACATGTATTATTTTAAAAATTTTGTTATGCATTATTAAGTTATACCTATTTATGTATTGAGTATAACCAGAATAATTTAATATAAAAAAGAAGGAGGTAGCTAAATATATGCCCACATCTTCTATTTAAAAAATAAAAATATTAAATTAATGAGACTAATTAATACAGTTATAGGTCATCAAAACAATACGCTTTCTATACTAGCTCTCGGTTAGTTTAAGTATTAGCCTTACTAAATAAAAATAAGATTTTTGCACTCTTTCCAGTACTGATATTTTTTTTTCTTTTTGGCGAGTTTTTGTTTTAACATTTTCAGATTAATTATAGGTGTATTGGGGAAATATATTACTTTGGGATAGATTCCCGAAAATGTTAAACTTTTCTTGGTATCTTTAATTCTAATGATTTCCTTTTAGTTGCTGATAATACTAAGGCAAATTTGGCTCTGTGGAATTGCAATTATCTCTAGACTCTAGGGCTTATTTAGCTCCAAGTTATAATCCCAATCGGAGTCTTAAAAGAAAACCTAAAACCACCAGTTTTTATAATTCATATTAATCAGTTTTGATTTAGGATTTGACTTCATAAACCCTACTCTATATATATATATATATATATAAGAGAATAACCTTCGATTTGCATACTTTTTTTTATAACCAAACGGTTTAATTCCTTGGAGCTGCAGAGCGTAAAGATATTTTGCCCTCTCAGCAAACTAAGCCACCTCACGATTTGCATAATTTATTACTATTCTTTTAAGTTATAATATAATGGCAGAGAGATCTGAACTTCCTTGCGGGTACCGTTTTGTTCCTACAGATGAAGAACTTGTTAACTTTTATCTTCGAAGAAAGGTGGAAAAACAACCACTACCTCGTGGCGTTGTAAGAACTCGCGACATTTACAGTAAAAATCCATGGGAGATCTTCGATAAGAGTTGCAATGGTTTCTTTTACGTGTTCACTACGTTGAGAAAGAAGCAGAATAGCAGAACAAGATTTGATAGAACAGCTGGTTCAGGGACTTGGAAGAATCGTTTTTCGAAAAGCTTTCCTGGTGATGATGGCAAATCTTTTTGGTTCAAGAAAGATTACGTTTTTGAACTCAATAAAAATCAAAGCTCTGCAGATTCATCTATTGATAATGGACATTGGATTATGCAAGAGTTTTCTCTCGAGGATGAAGGGGTAAGTACACTTTTTTATTATTTTTTTTTATTAGCAATTTTATATTTTATTAATAATAATTTCAGGAAAAAAAATTTAATAAACCTTAGCATCCTAAATTGCACCTGAATTATTAGTTAAGCTGTAATTTGAGCTAAAATGTTGATTTGCTGTAGATGTTAGTTGTTATAGTAGCTGTTAATTATTAAATTTTAGCTGTTAGTAGTTAGTTATTTATATAGCAGTTTAAAATAAAAGTGTTACAAAAAATGATAAGATCATAGAGAACAAAGACAAGTGATGCACATAGGCTTAATAAAAAATTTATATAAAATGCTAAAGGTGAATGAGAATAACATGAATTAGGATAGATGTGACGTTATCGAACATAATAATTAATTAAAACAATCAAAACACTAAACATTACTCTTATTGCATAATAGAGCCTTAATACATCCACGTTTAGACCATCGTTAATTTTACAGGTAAAGGTAAGTTAGGGCCGAACAGTTAGGCTTTGTTTGGCAAAATTAGCTGTTTTTATAGCTTTTAGCAGCAATTTGAGTAGTTTTCTTAAAATATTAAAAAGCTAATATTACATATTTGAAATTTTTATAAAACGTTACCTTAACATCTAAAAGTTAATTCAAACACTATGTTACAGAACACTAGCGTTTAACATTTTGGTGGCATGCTATGTTACCGAACACTAACGTTAGCGTTTTGACCGCTATTTAAAAAACTATTCAGTAATATAGCGTTTGAACTAGCTTATGGAGGTTAAGATAACGTTCGTTTTGTGAAAAGTTAACTCATATAATGTTTAGTTTTTAGCATTTCATGAAAAAATACTGAAACAGTTAACAGTTAAACACTACAAAAACAGTTAATTTTGTCAAAACAGACGCTTAGTCTAAAAATGCGGTTTTATTTTCATTCATCCAATCGTCTGTCAATTTTTATTTTTCTCATAGATGCCAATGTTTCACTCTTCTGTTGCAGTCAAATAGTTATGTCCTCTGTAAAATTAGCAATAAAAATGCAAGAGATTCACAAAAGGAGAAAAAAGAAATCGTTGAGCCAAAAAGACACTCGAATGAAAGAAAATTTTCAAGTGATGACAAGGAAGATCAAAACCCTAAAAGGATGCGAATTAACAGCCATTGCTTATTCCCTCCATCAGATGGAAATGTAAAGCCTCAAACATCAATACCAGATGCTGATTCACTTGAAGCAGTACTTGGAAAATTTTGGGTTCCAAAAGAAGATAGCAACAAAATATTTAACTCATCCATGTCATTATTTTGACCTAACTCTTAATGCCTTGCCTAATTTATACTCCCTCGTCTCACAATTTTTTATTTGCATACAGATTACTAAAAATTTAGTTAGTTTAGTTACCTTTGTATACCTTATTAAGAGGGGGCAATTGCCCCCTCTCATTTAAAAAAATAAATAAATATTTAGTTATTCTAGGCTTTGCTTTTAGTTTTTGTTACTTCATCTTATTAATATAAAAAAATATAGTAAATTTCAAATGTTATTCAAGGTGGTAAGCGAACTCAATCCCGTAAAAGTTAGAACACAAGTTCGATCCTTGGGAAGCGCACTTTGCTAGGAGGTCAAAAACTTTTACGCTCTACGAACCTAAATGATTAAACCTTTATGGCCCGAGCGGATTATTGGATTCTGTTTATTCTGCTCTTGAAAAGGCAGGAGGGGCCAGTTTGAATTGTTGTATCAGAGAGTGGTTGGCCATCTAAAGGAGACGATGCAGGAACACTTGATAATGGAGGCACTTATTATAAGAACTCGATTAATTATGTCAAGCAAGGGACCCCTAAGAAGTCAGGACAAGCTATAAAGACTTACCTGTTCGGCCTGTTTGATGAGAACCTGAAAGAAAGAAGCAGGATTCCTACAAGTTGGTCTTTGAGAGGGTGAGGAAAAGAAAGAAACAGAGAGAGAGGGAGAAGTTAGCTATATGGCTTCTAATTTTTCATTTCTAGCAAAACCCTCATAAAAAGGCCAGAACTATGCACAAAATGGGATATCTGAAATCTTTAACTGAACTCTCTTACTGTATTTCTGAAATCTTAGCACAGATCCATCAGAATATACAACTTCAAGTAGAAGAACATACTAACAACAATTGATCAGCTTATATTTGTGGCCTAAGGGGCTAAGACCTTCATGGGTTAAAACCAATTATCATATTAATCAAACCTTCTGCTAATAGCAAATATAGAGGAGAAAGTAAGAACAAAAGTTGAAGATCAAGGAGTTCATTTAAACAATAGAGTAAGCAGGTAAAACTAGGCTCCACATAAATGCTAGAATGGCTAACATGGTGAAGCCGATGAAAATTTCAGCTTACAAATGCAACGAAGGAAATTATAGAGTTAAAGTTAAGATAGAAAGAAGACCCATAAAAAAACTCAAGGATCTTTACCGGTCACCTTTAAATTAAAATCGGTTTTGGTTCCAAATCAAACCATGGCTATGCCTAATTATACTATGACAATTGATGAAAAAAAAAATGTACTTGTAACAGTCATTTTACGTTTTAATAGCTACCACTACTGAAAATTGTACTTTTAACAATCATTCAACAGCTATCAGCTTAATAAAATAAGCCCTTAAGAGGAAAGCGCATTGTTATCCGTAGAAATATAAAATTTAGGGCACCGCATTGTAATATTAATAAATCTCTAATGGAACAATATAGCAGTAAATTATTGTGCCTGAACAAAATCTGAAGGGTTAGATACTTGTACTTTTGAGACAGAAAAGGTTAAAGTCTTCCATAAACCATATATAACACAGGATTTCAGAAACCTTCAATTGGTCTCTCACATTGAAACTAATCAAGCCAAAAAAACAGGGGAAAAAAATGAATGAAAAACACATCAGATTATAGCACAGTATCCACAGAATATACAGCTCAAAGGAGACGAACACATCACCAACGCTTGAACAGCTTCTGTAGTAGCAAAGTTACATCATTCAATAGTCATGTTCAATTGGCTACAGAGTCTGAAAACTGTTTAAAGTTGAATCAATGACATTACAAGTTGACAAATAAACCACATTGCAATGTCACTCTGAATTTCAATCCATGGTACAGGTGTAGAAGTCCTATGATCTATGAGCCTTCTTGGGCAACAATGTCATGCTGTGACATCCCTGTCAGTAAAAATGATTTTGTTACTTACAAAAAAATTAAAACCAACAATTTAAAGAGACTAAGGAAAGAATATAAGCAGTAGGCTTACAATGTCAAGATAGCTTAGTTACCCAAGAAGTAACTAAAGTAATTCAGTTTAAGTATGGAGATAATTAGCAGCCATCATCAGATCCAGAGTCAGTTCAGGTTCAATTGGGAATTCAGTCTCCTTTCCACTGGCAGCAGAGTAGCAATTAAATGTCACCAAAGAGTAAATAGCCGAAGAATATTAGGAATTATTATTTCACAGCATTTGCAGCAACTATGTAAATGGAAAAATATATCTCAAAACATTAGCAGGAAGAACTAGGCTCCACATGAATGCTAGGATGGTCGACATGGTAAAGATGATGAAAATTTCAGCTTTCAAATGCAAGGAAAAAAATTTTATAGTCAAAACTCCATAAGAAAGGAAGAAGTCCCATAAACAGATTCAAGGATCAAAGAAGCACAATAAGCACATGAAAATCCCAAGCGTGCACACTGAAAAGTTAGCAATTTGAGTGAAAAGACTAAAAAAGTATTTGTGTTTAGGGCATATTTAATTCCTCTAACAACCTTTCCAAGACAAATGAGCTACACACAAATATTAAGTTAACCTCTAACTTTCTCAATCCACAGATCATAGAGTGCTTGTCAGTACGGTTGCAAACCATTTCATATTCACAAAATAAACCTCAACATACCCATTTCAGAATTCAAACTAAATAAATGACAGTTCAATATCTCCTAATCAAACAAAATAGCAATGGAGCTTTGAGCAAAACAATTTTATCAAACATTCCACCAAAAAACAAGAATAGAAAAACCATCAGAGATGTAATACAATTACAAAACCAACCAAATTGCCCCCCAACACCCCTTCAAAAAGAGTACTGTATAAAGGCAGGCCTCACTAGCATAAAGGATAGATCAACAAAACTATAACTTATGAAACATAAATCTGAAATCAAGTTAACTAGCATGGTAAATTTCTCAAACCACAACAAACGTTAGCCATGACCCAGCCAAAACAAAAGGGTAAGACAAGATATGGACCAATCCCAAAATGCTGATGCAAATGAACTTAATTTGAACCGCAAACTAATGTAGAACAAACACAAACAAATAAACAAATAATACACAAATATAAAAGGAAAAGAACAGAACTTGGCATATTGAAGAGACCAATAGAAATATTGGCAGATCTTCTCCAGAATTACAGTACTTATCTCAGGAAATGTCACTTCTCCATGCTGTGTCTCTGCGAAACTCCCTGCCACAATTTTAAAAAATGACACTTTTAGAAACCCCATCTCTATCTCAAAACCCAAATTAAACCCTAATTTCAATCTAAAAAGTACACTATTTAATTCCTAATATGATTAGCAACAATTAACATAAATGACAGCAAAATTTAATCCAAATACATTAATAATCCTTGATTAATTAGAGAATATCCTCGATTAATCCAAACACAAACAAAGGGAAAAGAAAACTGTCAATCAAAATAGAAACAACTCAAAATTAAGACTGACCTGGAGAGGTAAGCATGTTGCGTATGGTTTGGGAAACCATGGCGGCTTCCTTGTCAATCACGAACTCGAAGCCCTCAGCGCTGATTAGCTTAACTGTGTCTTCCTTCCTCATCTTCTTCCTTTCACAGAGATTTCTCCTTTCGACCCAAATCAATGGTGATCCGGGAGACCGAAATGGAAGAGAGTTTCGATTCCTTTTCTATTCTCTATGAGGATTTGGATTTGTTTGCATAGCGTCTTAAAATTGCATTTTAGAGTCGTGGGTCTTGCTTGGCTCGCGGGCTTTAGTGCTCCAATCGCTGGATTGGACTTGGTCTTTTTTTAAATTAGTTTTTTTAAGAAAGTGCTGCTCAGTTATAAAATTATTTCAATTTTTGTAAAAGTGAAAATATAAATTTAATTACTTTAAATAAAAATTGATTTCAAAAAAATTAAATTATTATTTGTTTAAATAATAAAATTAGTTCATCGGAAAAGTGCAAAATTACATTTTAATTTTCACCACTAATGACATCTTTGCTTAATTAAAATTGCAATATATTTGAAACGAGCAAATGATTCTTAGTCCAATTTGTAATACACTTGCAATATATTTATAGTACCTGATTGCAAAAAAGATATATTTATATACTTGAAATGAAAAAAAAAAAAAAATACTGAAGTTTTATAGGTAAGGGAATCAAAGATAGGTGATCCACCTTAAGTTACATTAGAATTGAAATGAATTAAAATACAAGAGATAACTCTTTTGTTTTTCATTGCTCTATCCCAATTTGCCGAGATGGATCGGTTCGATTCAGGTTTTGCATAGTCCGTGGTTTTGCATACCCCTAAAAGTAAGAGTCAAAATATCACTTTATTATTTATATTGTTTCGCGATATAGTATTTGTTTTACTATATTAGGAAGGACAAAATTAAAAAGATATATTAAAATGAGAGTTGCGACAGTACTAAGGTTCTATTTTTATGTCTCGATATTTTAAAATAAGACTAAAAATGATCTAATATTGTCTCATTATGATTCATGCACACCCTTAATAATAATAATAATAATAATAATAATAATACATCTAAATTATGGATGGAATCTTTATATTGCAACATGATTAATGGATAAAATTATGGAATCAATTCGCGAAATTGTCTCAATAAAATAATTTACCGAGCTGAACCGAGGTTATTCGGTAAAATGGTTCGGTGCATTGATAAATGATACACGGTCGATAAGTTTTTTTAACAAAATTCGATAAATGGTTCAACAAAGTAATTAAAAGAATTTCAGAATTTTCGATTTACCAATTTATTAAAAATGGCATCGTTATAATTAAAAAAAAAAAAATTCAACCCTTATATAGTAAATTTATCAATTCGGTCAGTCCGTTGTAAACAATAAAATTTCATCAGTAAACAGTAAATGGTAAATTTGGTAAATATTTAAATCAGTAAATATAAATTCCATCAACAGTTAACCAACTCAATCTCCATCCCTAGTTGGCATCTTTCTGTTGTCCCTCAAACAGCACAAAGCAAGCCTGTGCTAGTGGCAGTGATTCCATTTGATAAATAAAATGAGTGGCTCATAACAACACTTACTATTTTCCACTTAAAGTGTCTATTCACTGAGATTAATTATTTTAGTAGTTGTTAGTTGTTTAAGTAGTTATTAACTGTTAGATATTAAATGTTCATATAGTTGTCTAGAGCAAAGTATTCGGTGAAAATAGCTGTTTGATTAACTGTTGAAATTAAAATGATAACAAAGACATTTAAATATCGAGTTAGAATTTTAAATTATAACTATAGAAGTGAACCCCATATAAGAAAAAAAGATATGATTATGTGATGTGTTATTAACTTTTTTTTTTTTTTTTCAAAAGAATGTCAATCTATAGTATATTAGTCTAACTATATAAAAGAGGTATCGTTGAAGTATCATAACAACCAAGTTTTGAACAGTTTAATTACTTCTTGATATCTAACTAACTGAAGAAGGGATTCAAGATGCAATTGAAATAAAAAAAAAATTTAAATTAATGGCAAGAATGTCAATAAATTTTTAATTAAAAAAAAAAAGTGAACGCTAAACATTAGGCGAAAACGTTTCACTAAACAATATATTATCTACTGAAAGCTGTTTTATAAACTAACTCACCAAACAATGTAATACATCAAAACAGTATTTTGACGTAGTCAATACTCTAAATACTCCCTCGAACGCTCTTGCCAAACAAAGCAAAAAAGTTGTATTGATACTGTTAAATAATTAATAACCTAAACAAGTAATCATAAAATCCAAAATAACACTCCTTTATTTATTTATTTATTCATTTATGTGAGTATTCCCACTTTTCATTATAAAATTAATTTTATTTCGGGATTTTTTTCACTATGCTTTCCAAATATAACACTCTTTAATTAATAGAATAGTATTAAATTTCCCCACAACTTAGTTGCAATGTATAATATCTTAGAGTTTTTAAATCAAATGGTTTCTCTAACGTGTATTGCACGCTTTGTTTGTACTCGTTGCAAATAAAATAATTTAATTTATATAAATAATTTTTTTATTAATTTTTATTACAATTTATAATATTATGAATTATTTAGATTACTAAAAATATAAGAGCAATTACAAAACAAAAAAAAAAAAAAAATTTTAATATTATGAATTATTTAGATTATAAAAATATAAGAGCAAATTAAAAAAAAAAAAAAAAAAAAAATTTTATGAAATAATAAAAAAATCCAATAAACAAAGAACTTGTTAAGTAAAAAATATATTTACAATAATAAATTCAATAGCTAAATGACTTGTTGAAGGAAGAACATATTTATAATAATAGAATATTATTATTATTTGACAACAAAATTTTCATAAAAAAAATTACTTATTAAATAATCTAAATTTTCTTATAACAATTGAAATTTTAATTAATTTAATTTTATGTAATATAATATAATATCATAAATGTCTATATTACTAAAATATGAAAAATCAGTATTAGCTATTATAATAATTAATATGTTAATCACTATTTTAAAGCATCATTGATAATTTTGATTTTTTTCTTAGCATAAAATTAATTTTATGACTGCTTTTTTTTAGAAAAAAATTTCTCAACTTGTTATATGGCGATATAACATTAATAACATTATATATATATATATATATATATAGCGAGCTTTATTTTCTATTTAAACAATAAATCTCATAATATTTTCTTAACAAATAATTATAAATTTTAAATTACTTGTACGACATATAATAAATCAAATAAAAAATTTATTAAAAATAATAATTAAACATATTATATTATTGCTATATGTGATATGTACCTTACATAGTATAAGTATAACAGAACCAATCAAAATTAATTATCTTTATTTTTTTTCAACTAATAAAATTAAAATTCTGAAAGATATTATATTCTTACAATAATTATTATATACCTTATTTAGTATATAATATAATTTTTTAATTTATCCAATAAAATTTAGATTTATAGAAAATTAATATAGTCAATTAAAGTTAAATTACTTTTATTTTTAACCAATAAAATTAAAATTCTTAAAGATATTATTATATTCCCACCATATTTAATATATATCTTATATAGTATGTAATATAACTTCTTAATTTATTCAATAAAAATTGAATTTAAATAGAAAATTAATATTATCAATTAAAATTAAGTTATCTTTATTTTTCAACTAATAAAATTAAGATCATTAATGATATTTTTGTCAATCTATAAATTTAATAAGGCATAACAATTTTAATATTTTTCACTATTTTCACTTTTATATATAATATAATTATACTATAATTATACAATAGATCTTTGAAAAAAAATTAATTGAACCCATTTTTAAACGATATCTCACGATTTTAACATGATTCCTTAATTAATCATGAAATTTTCTCTAGGGAGACCAATAGTTCTTTTCTAGAATTACGTGGCAATCTCTTATTGGTTATATGACTTTAAATATCATTACTTGAACATCATCCAATCAAAACCTTGCCCAAAAAAACAAATCCCAATAACAAAGGGACGTGGAAAGCAAATCACTAAACATCCTGCTGCACCCTCCTGCCAGCTAGCCACTGTCAGTTGCCACCTCATATTTCCTGACATCACTCAAAATTTTTGTCTCTATGAGTAATACGATACCGTTTAACCCACACAGAATCACCATGCAAAAAATCCGTTTATATTTATTAGCCCGTTTCAAACCCTTTCCCTCAATCATCGATTTTTCTTTTCCCCAATTAAAAAACAGAAATTCCAATTCCATTTCTAGTACCCAATTTATAATATTCCACTTTCCATTTCGGCTTAAAACCGACCCGAACGGAGCACAAATTTTCTCTTCTCGATCTGTTCGCCTTAGGGTAAGTTATTGATTTTCTCGGTTCTTGTAATTCCTCTCTGCAGATCTGTTTTTGATTGCTCATTATCTTTGTGTTTGGTTGGATCTGATTTGCTTAGAGAGATCTGAGGAGAGGATACAGAGAATATGGCGCACAGAGTAGATCATGAATATGATTATCTGTTCAAGATCGTTTTGATCGGTGATTCCGGTGTGGGAAAATCGAATATTCTTTCCAGATTTACCAGAAATGAATTCTGCTTGGAATCCAAATCCACTATTGGTGTCGAGTTCGCCACGAGAACTCTTCAGGTAATTATTGCTTTTGTTGTATGAGCATTTAGAAGACGATCTGCTGTTTCGTTGTGTTTGCGATCTTGTGTTTGATGATTTGTGGCGAAAATGAAATTCTCTAGATGGAAAGTCTCTGGATGTTCAAGTAATTCTATGAGTTTCTATTGTTTGGTATTGATAGATTGACGGTTGGTATTAGGGTGAATAGATGAGCAGCAGTGCCCATGCTTTAATATAATGGAGTTTGACTGTGAGATCTTATAAGTTGAGAATATAGCTTCTTCTTATTTTGTACTAGTAGAGATTAATTAAATTGTTGAAAGTTAGAAAGTTAGAAAGTGGGTTCTATGCTGTTCTATGTTCTAATAAACTTATATCTTAGTCTGTGGTATGAAATATCAACCGTGCAAGATGTACCTAAATTTACCTTCCCCTGAAATGCTTGTTGGTGGGCTATTGTTGTATTTGGATTTCAATAGAAGTTGGATCTGCAGGATCATCTCGGTTGATTGCGTGTATAAAGTAATGTTTCATGAGTACTGCCAAGGGTCATTCTTATGGTAATCAACTGTGGATTTGGTGCATTAGTGTATGAGTTACTGACCAAGGGTCATTCTTATGGTAATCAACTTGTGGATTTGGTGCATTAGTGAACTGGTTGATTGTGTGTATCAAGTAATGTTGCCATGAGTATTGCCGAGGGTTCATTCTCACAGTTAATCAACTGTGGAATTTTGGTGCATTTTTAGGACTGCTTAATCCTTTCACCAATGCAACATGAGAAAATGCTATTTTAATTTGTAATTGGTGACTCGGCCTTGCCTATTTGAGTGTTTATATGACAGACATACCATTTCTCAGTGGAAAACACCCATTTCATGATCTTTTGATTACAACGTTTTTCAATTGTTTCTGTAATCTGGTTCTGATACAGTAAATAATTCCTTTCTATATTATTTTTCTGCTACAGCGTGATGAAAGACAGTAAAGGCACAAATTGGGATACGCAGGTCAGGAGAGGTACCGCGCTATCACAAGTGCTATTACAGAGAGCTGTTGGTGCCCTTTCTAAGTCTATGACATTACAAAAAGGCCAAACTTTTTTTGACAATGTTCAAAGGTGGCTTCGTGAGTTGAGGGACCATGCAGACGTCTAACATGTCATCATGATGGCTGGAAATTAAGTCTGACTTGAATCATCTCAGAGCTGTCGCGGAGAAGATGGAGACTCTAACATTGTCATCATGATGGCTGGAAATAAGTCTGACTTGAATCATCTCAGAGCTGTCGCGGAAGAAGATGGTCAGGGCTTGGCAGAGCGGGAAGGTCTCTCATTTCTCGAGACATCAGCATTGGAAGCAACCAATGTTGAGAAGGCATTCCAGACCATATTGACAGAGATATACCATATCATAAGCAAGAAAGCATTGGCAGCACAGGAAGCAGCTGGCAATTCTACCCTTCCTGGTCAAGGAACCACTATTAACGTTGCCGATTCCTCTGCGAATTCAAAGAGAGGTTGCTGTTCTACATAAGACTGTAATTTGAGGATGGATAAGCATTGCTAGCCAGCAGTCTTTTTTCTTTTTAATTATATTTTACCTTTTTCTTTAAAAAAATTTTCTTTTTCAATTTTTGGGCGGAGGGAGGGAGACATGTAGATTACCATCTTTTACTTGAAATGAGTTTGTGAAATTGGAGAAAAGAAACAGTTCCTTAGAATATCAGGATGTCTGTTCTGTTCTTTTGTTGTGTTTATTTCTTGTATGTTACTTAAAAGGAAGGTGGAACTGACTGATAGGAGGGATGTAGAGTGAGATCACATTATTTTCTCAATTGTGGTGTAAAACCATAGAAAGGGGCAGCATTTAGTACTATTGGTGTTGTTTGTTGAGCTACTTCTTAACTTGTAATGAAAGCTTTATTACCCTTTTAACATGTCTTTCCAACCTATGCTTATCGCTTCTTGTTCGTGCAAGCGCAATTACTTATTTAATACATAATCCTGTAATCTGTTATTCACAACATATGACTAACTTGCTCGTCTTTGAGTGGAAGATTTCCTAATAAACATAACATTCTCTCGGTTTCTTCCTGTTTTTGGATGATTTCAGGTTATGATCTTTTTAAAACAAGTACTGCAATGGACATTTTTCTAAATATGATTAAAAGGAAAAACTTGTGGAGGAGAATCTAGGAATTTCGACTAGCATAATTAGACGGAGAAAGGTATGTATTGTCGCATGTTCTAGGGGCTCCTTGTTTTGATTTGTATCTGTTTTAATGGCATTGAGTGCTTTTTATAAAACGCATTGAGTAGCTTTTTAATAGCATCGAGTAGTTTTTCATAAAAGTTGATAAAAAGCTATTTTAACCTCTAAAAGGTGTTGCTGAACATAGCCTTAATTATTCATTAGCCTACGAAAATCCTTTCTAACTTTTTACCAGAATCTGCCAATCGCAGCAGAAATGCCAAGGTTTAGGTTAGATCTTTTCAAGTTAAACCTAACTGATTTTAACATAGAATCAAACAGCTTTTAAGTTTTGCAACAAGTATAGTTCCAATCCACAAAATGCAATGAAGATGAGAAGCGCGGAACAAAAGCTCTGTTTTGTAAATCTTTAACTTACTGCTCGATTTGTACAGTTACATGACGAATCCTGTATGTTTTTTTGCAGTAATCGTTAATCCTGTTAAGTATTTCAGTAGAGCTGATTCCAGGCTCAGCCACAACATGGCAAGATAAAACCAACTTCCCTACTGTGATAGCCCAAATATGCAAGTCATGAATGTCTTGAACTCCTTTTATGGATTTCAGACCACACTCCACCTTGCCAATGTTGATCTCACAAGGTGTCCTCTCCATCAGAATGCCATATACATCCCTAAGCATCGGTATTGTAGAATACAGAACAAAACCAGAGAAAATAAGAGTGCATATCAGATCAACTACCAACCATTCAGGCTTTAACCAAATAATTACTCCAGCAACCATTACGCCTACAGTTTGAATTAGGTCAGCCATGACATGTAAGTAAGCTCCTTGAATATTTATGTTTAATATTTTTCTTTTTTCAGGAGAACTTAATACCAGTCCAGTTCCCTCCTCTTCGTTTCCTGGACATAAATCCCCATCCTTGTGATTGTGAATGTGATCATGATTATGAACATGAGAAGCATGATGAGAGTGATCATGACCTAGCCATACAACCATGATTAAGTTAACAATGAATCCGAAGGCTGCAATTGCAAACATTAGTCCTCCATTTACCTCAGAGCTTCTGTGAATAATTTTGTCAACTGCTTCATAGATTAAGATGACAGAGACTATCCATATAAGCTGCACTGATAGAAGGGCACCTAAAACTTCAAGGCGGTTAAATCCGAATGACTGTTGTGATGTTGCCTCCCAACCCGAAGCCCACACTGCGAAAAGAGAGACACAGAATCCAGCAACATCAGTCAGCAAATGGGCTGCATCTGTAATAACTGCAAGGCTGTTGGCTTTCAAGCCACCGACGATTTCTACTGTCATGACTAGTAAATAGAAAATTATAAGCCCCACAAGTTTTACAGCTGACTTTGATCGTTCTTCGGATTCAAGAGTATCATTTTCTTGTTTGGAGAAGGCACAAACAGAATTGCAAGATAAATGTGCTGTAGCAGGAAGAATGGCATTTTCTTCAGATGATACTATCATCTCAACATCCTTCTGGTTTTGCAATTGCAAAATGGAGGCTTCCTCATGTTCCATCTTCTTGGAGAACATGTTTACCTTCAGTAGAATATTAGAAAAAAGAAAGTCAAGAAAATATAAAACAAAATTACTCGAAAAGTATGGCTGTCATTGGCTTCACAAACAGTAAGTCCAAGGAGTGCTTCAATACCACAAGCTACAAAAGTAAAGTGGAATCTAAAATTCTAGAAAAGCTACAGGCAGAAAACAGCAATCAGCACTGATTGCTGGCCTGGGGACAGTACAATCAACAAAGTTTAACTAGTTTGGGACCCATCATGTATTTGTAAATAACTAGAACCAGGAAATTTGAAATAAAAGAAAGGACAAACAGAAAGCAAATTACATCACACTAATGCGAAGTGATTTTTTCCTGGAACAATATAAGCTATTAAAACATAATAGATTTTATAAATTCCGCAAGCTTCAATCACGTGTAGTGTTAATTAAAGCAAACTAAAATTTATAATTTTTCACAATCTCATTTTGATGGACAAAAATCATATATCTGTGAAACATGATTAAGTTCAAAGAACATGAAATCATATTCTCTTGCATATATAGTGAAAGAACAGTTATTAATTCATAATCCTAATCATCACTCTTCATCAAAATAATGAAGCCTTTGCAAAAACCAGAGATAGATTTAAATTTCAATCTATCTTCTCAACAAAATCTCATTAATTTGAAATTCCTTTCCCTTCATTTTATTTTACTATGTCTGAAATTGTCAAGAACTCTCTGAAATCAGTTTCATTGCACATAAATCCAAACTCAGATTATTGCACATAAAAAAACCATCTAATAAATTAACATCTTCACCGCCAAGGACAATTAACTTGGTTTTGAAAGTAGTCAAAGTACATGATCAGTTCAAACAGTTCAAACAGCATATGAGAATCACAGAGCATTCTTCTCAATAAAATGAGCAAACTCAGATAAATATAAATAATCAATTTAAAACAAAAGTTCAATATACCCAGTTGGATTACTCTCTTCAACTTCATATATGACATGATTTCTAAACCAGTTGTTTCTTTAATTATTTAATACCCTAAAAACTTAAAACAACCTATTGACGATCAAACAATCCTTCCTACCTTCAATTTTAAGCAACTCCAAAACCCTGCATTTTGCATCCATAGCAATAATTATTACAAAAGAGAGAAATTTCGTAACTTGAAAATGTCGAACATATAATTCCATTTCTATTTAATTGAAACAAACGACGATCAAGAATTGCGAGTAAAAATTTCAATAAAAATAACATGAGCTCATTTCACAATATATACAAACGCGATCAAGAATTGCGAGTAAAAATTGCAATAAAAATAACATGAGCTCATTTCCACATATATATATATATATATATTATATATATATATATATATATATATATATATTATAAAGAATCTACTAGTTGCAGAAGACATTGCAACTTATATAAAGAATCTACTAGTTGCAGAAGACATTGCAACTATTGAAGGTTGGTGATGGGTTATACCCGTAAACGACAGGACAGAGGACAGAAACTTTAGAGGGACTGATTATCGGATCTCATGAATTGAGAAATTGGGTTATGATCAGAAGCGTGAAAAGCCTCAAAGTAATTGGCAAAACACTTCTTGTGATGAAAGCACGGGGAATGATAATCCCCTGCTTCCGAATTCCACACTTTCTACTGTTGTTTATTTTCTTAAATAAAGGGGAGAAGAAGAACCCGGCACGTTACGATCGGAAGCGTGAAAGGCCTGAAAGTAATTGGCAAACAACTTCTTGTTGATGAAAGCACGAGGAATGGTATTCCCCTGCTTTCCAGTTCCACTTGTTTATTTTTTTAAATAAAAGAGACAAGAAGAAGCCGGCAGCCAAGAAACGTTACTGTTAACAGAAGATGCCATAAGCGTTTCCATGTAGCGGAGAACTAAACTTGCGGATGGATTGGGCATCGTGATACCAGGTAATAAAATAATAAGTAGGGACGATGATGATCATGGATAATCAGGGATAATAAATAAATAATAATTTTGATGATTCTGCAAAATCCATACTCCACCCATCAAGATTTTCATATACCCATATCCCATATGGGATCCAATGTCGGGTTGAATTAAATTAGATATTATTCGTTTTTTCTATTATATTTAGAAAAAATAAAAAGATAATTACAATTTTTTTATACATAAGAAGCCGAATTTATTGAAATAATATTATAGGCTACATAGCAGGAAGTAGCTTTCCCCTCTAAATAATATTCATCAAATTGACGATAACCTTTATGATGGAATCCATATTACTTATTATATTTGAAAATACAAAAATTTATAATGATAATTAGAAATATTATATGTCATGGCAGGTGGAAGATATTCGAACCGAACTATACTATATCTGTAATCCACATCAAATCGGACATATGATCATCCCTAATAATAATGCAAAAGTTTCCTAAGATATATTTGGATTAGGGTTTAAATGTTTAGATCGTCTAATCATTTTATTGCATACGCGTTAATTTTATTGTCATGGAATCGATATAATCACTGCCCCTGTTGATTCAAACTACATGTCAGGTGTTGACGTTCCGATTTATGACATTCCCATAGGGCGCACCAACTTATGAGCACTAGTGGGAGACGCTGCCCCCTTCCTGCAAGAGGCACCCACAAAGTGGGTCGTGGCTCCTATGTAGCCACCAGTTAGGTGTTGACATTCCGATTTAAGACATTCTATAGCCGCACCAACCCCTAAGCTGCCCCCTTCCTGTAGGAGACAACCCACAAAGTGGCCATGGCTCTTAGGCCGCCAACGGTCAGGTGTTGATGTCCCGATTTAAGACTCTCCATAGGCGCACCAAACCCCGAGCACTGGTGAGAGACACTACCCTCTTCCTATAGGAGGCAGCGCACAAAGTGCTCTCAGGCAGTAGAACGAATATTTAGACATCATGCGTAATGAAATATTGTCATTGAGGATTGAACCGAGAAGCTATCGTAGAGGATTAAACCTAGATCAAGCAGGCGGATGATTAACGTTTTTACCACCGGGCCATTACTTGGGGTGATATTACTAAATTTATTAATATCTTGTTCAACAACAACTTTTCATATAACTTTTATTACTTTGTCTAAGTCAAAATACAAACTTTCATATAGCCTTTATGATAGTTTGAGTAAGCGAATTATGAAACGTTATTTTCTTCAACATTTGATGAAACTTAGTTAAATAATTAACATCCAATAAAACAACTAATTTTCCACTAATTTACCAAAAAGACCCTGAATTTTCAACTTGTTGAGTTAGATATAAAAACATAAGGTTATTAAACTCTTTTTTTTTTTTTTCTGGAAGTGCAAAGGATCATATATTATCATTATCATGACAAATAACATCCAAGATAAAAGGTGGAAGAGTAAAGCTCCATTCCTCCATGTCAGACAGAGACACAGCTTGTCATAGCCCTACCCTTGGTAAGTATTGTCCGCTTTGGCATAGTCCCCGGATGGCCCGGATGTCCCTACACCTCACGGTTTTGTCCCTTTGAGCCAGGGGTCACCCGTCCCTTTGAGCCAGGGGTCACCCACTCTGCCAACTCCAAAATGCGGCCTACTTAAGGTTAGAGACTACCCCTCTTATGTTTAGATCCTTTACCTCGTCCGTATAAGCCGATGTGGGATTTTCGGGCCTTTAAGGTTTGATGCCCCTTGATGTCCAGGATGTTCACATTCACCCCCCCTAAGACTTCAGCGTCCTCCCACTGAGGTTTGCCCACCACCAGCCAGAGGGAACGAGGCCGGCTCTGATACCAATTGTCATAGCCCTACCCTTGGTAAGTATTGTCCGCTTTGCATATCCCCGGATGGCCCGAAAATGTCCCTACAACCTCACGGTTTTGTCCCTTTGAGCCAGGGGTCACCAACTCTGCCAACTCAAAAGGGGCCTACCAAGGTTAGAGACTACCCTCTTAGGTATTAGACGTTTACCTCGTCCTTAGCCGATGTGGGATTCGCCTAAGGTGATGCCCCTGATGTCTAGGATGTCACATTCACCCCCCTAGCCGATGTGGGATTCGCCTAAGGTGATGCCCCCTGATGTCTAGGATGTCACATTCACCCCCCCTAAGGGACTCAGCGTCCTCGCTGAGGTTTGCCCCACCACCAGCCAGAGGGAACGAGGCCGGCTCTGATACCAAATTGTCATGGCTCTGCCCTAGTTAGTATTGTCCGCTTCGGCATAGTCCCCGGATGGCCCGAATGCCCCTACACCTCACAGATTTGTCCCTTGGGCCAGGGGTCACCCACTCTGCCAACTCAAAAGGCGCCTACCAAGGTTAGAGACTACCCCTCTTATGTATAGATCGTTTACCTGATGCCCCCTGATGTCCAGGATGTCACACAGCTGCTCTAGCCAAAGCATGAACCACCTGGTTATCTGACTTTACTACAAAAGACACCCTACAATACTGCAACTCATTAAGAAGCTTTGCATTCATAAACAATAGAACCAAAATGCAAGAGCTCCACCTCTTTTGCTATTAAGGATTGCATCTACCTAGATTCTATTTATGGCTCTATTCATTGACCAAACTAATAAAAATGGAATTTTTTTTATTAAATGGTAAGATAAAACCTTATTTTAAAATAATTTATTTTTCATGGATTTGATCTGTGAGTAAGCCCATAGACCACATCTAGAATCTAAATAGACAATTTAACCCTTAAATAAAAAAATCTCTTAATTGATTTAATGGAAAATTTTTTATCTAATATTTTACATGGTATTTTCATTTATTTATAAAACATTAATGGTAAAAATAATACTTTTTACACAGAAAAAATAATTTAAAGAGACCATACTTCGGAAATGAATCAATTAATTTACCAAAATGAAGAAATGTAATGGTAATTAGAGTCAAATTTCAGGGAGTAAATAGCATTTCGCCCATATTTTAATTTAGTCGCTTACTTCTTAAAGTCGTTACTTAAAAACGTCCATCACGGGCCCGTGAGTCTCTTCCTCACCGAAACTGAAATTCAGAACCCCGTGAGTCGATTCTCTCTCTCAATCTCTAATGCCTAACTCCTCTCTCTTCCTTTTCCTGATATGATTACTTCGCGATACTTGAAGATTCCGAGCAGAAGTTCAATAAATTTCAGTCACAGCTCTTCTATCTCAAATAAGACAAGGAGAATTTCACTGTACTTTTTGTGTTTTTCTTTTGTTTGACTGAAAATTTCTTTTATGTTTCACAGATCTTCAAGATTGATTGAAGAAATTTGGTCACCGGATCTTCAATTTCAGTAAGATACTGTATTTTCTCACAATTACTCTCACTTTCCATTAATTCCCTTTTTGTTCTTTTAATGTTTGCTAGGAAATTACTTGCATGTGTTTTTTTTTATTTGATAGTGTGATTATAGTTATTCTTTGATTTCTAAAGTATCTGCTAAAAAACAACTGGTTAGATTCATTTCCTGCTCTTAGCTCTTTTTCGAATCCTTTCCTTTCATAATTTTGTTGAAAGTGAAAAGAAAAATGGTAATTTAGTGTTAATCGTGATTATGGAAATTAAAGTCTCAATAACATAAAAAGAAACAGTTCTACAGTGGGTTGTGGTTTATTCTTTTTTGAGAGGTAATTTTATGGTGGCTGAATGGAGAGAGAGAGAGAGAGAGAGAGGGAGAGCGGGACCGCTTCCTGAGAAGCTCAATTATATGCTTAGTACAATCAATAAAATTGGCGATGCTATGTGGCCCATGATGCACAGTAGTGTCACGGGTCCCCTTGAATTAGCCTATATGAGTAGCTTTTTTGGGTCAATTTTAGTCCCTAAATTACCATAAGATATATTTGGAGGATTATCATGTTTTATAGCACAAAAATAAGGGATCAAAGAGCAATTAAAATTTGAAATATTTGTGAACTGAAGTGTTGCATAATCTAAAATACGAGGGAGTCTTAGAGCCTATGCATAAGGCACAACCAAGCACTTGACAGAGATGAGGCGCAAAAGAAATTAAATGAGACAATTAATTTTATTGTCTATTTGGATAGATAGTCATTTGAAGTGGGCACAAATTCTTTTATAAAAATTATGCAAACAAGGAATAAAAGCATGAAAAAAACATCTAGAAAAGGAAAGAGAATCTGAAAGGCATCTAGAATAAAAAACAAGAGAAAAAAATGAAGGGGAATGATATGAACGAGAAGAAGAAGAAGAAATGACCTAACATGAAGATGCATCACACGTGCATCTTCTTAAGCATTTCGTCAATGAAATTTGGAATGCATATAAATTATGTGCATAATATGACCTGCTTTATGGGAATGTTGAATAAAGCTGTATTTTTTGAAAGAGTTTATTTCTATTAGTTAAATGTTAATGTATAAGTTTGATGGTGTTTTTTGTTGTTAAATTTTTAGGTATTGGGGCAACTAGATTAATTAAGATGTCTTATGGCGTTGTAAATGGTAATAGTCATAACAAAGGTGCTGATGCCACCATCAGCTTTCATGAGTCCCACTTGGAACCTAATGGCAAGGAAATGGATTCGGCACAAAGTGTTGAAGTTAGTTCCGAGGATTTGGGACCAAACACACAGCAATCACAGCGTGATGAAAATACAGCAGACAAAGGCGATGTACCCAAGGTGGGCATGGCATTTGGAACTCTAGAAGATCTATTTGAATTTTACTGGAAATTTGCAGAGAAGGAAGGATTTGGAGTGATTAAACAGTCCTGTGGAAAAGGACTTAATGGAGAACTTAAATACCAAACTTTTTCTTGTGATCGAGCAGGGAAGGCAAGTAACAATGGTAAGAATCGCCAAAAGCCTAGGCCAACAAAAAGAAATGGATGCTCAGCAAGGGTCTGTGCATCAATAGGTCCAAATGGAAAATGGAAAGTAAATAAAGTAGTTTTACAGCATACCCATGAGCTTATACCCTATTCTTCACAACTTTTAAGACACCATAGAGTGATTGCTCAGCATAGAAAGAGGAACCTTGAGATAAATGATGTTGCATGTATTCAACCATGTAAGAGTGCTCGTGCCACTGAAGTTGGAGCTCATGACAATATGACATCTTCGAGCAAGGATAGCAGAAATCATATAGAAATTTCAAGAAGGATTAATCTGAGTAAGTGCAAAATCTCATAAAAAGAGAAATCTGAAATCTGAAAATATCATATTTTCCTTTATTACTTTTTCTTTGACAATGGATATACATTAATATGTGTTAGCAGTCAGTAGTCGGAAGGGGGCAGTAAACACTCTACTGCTCCAGCAGTGTGAATTCATCCAATTGAGAGAGTTATTGCCTCAATTCCATCAAGCCCCCTCCGATTCTAAAGGAGTGAGAGGTTGCAAGCATTAAAATGTATATTTCAATCTTTTGATAACTATAAAATGTACGTTTTTCTTGCTCTGTAGATGGGGATGATGCCAAGGTGTTGCCTTCACCAGACGCATACAAAAAGTTGTATGAAGATAGAACATGCTTGCTCAACATGCTGCGGAATGAGGTGCGGAAAATGTTTGGCCGTCTGCCAACTCTACTTGACCCTTCAATTTTCAAAAGCATTATTTTAATAGCTGATGATCCATTGTCTACATTAGTGGATTTATTTGAAACTGAAATTGAAGAAAATAATTATTCTCCACCAAATAGTGGCCAAACATTCCTCAGAGACGACACAAAAACTTAGATATGAGAATTGAAATTCTAATTATCTGTAAACACTCGGTTGGGGGAGTATGAAAAGGAGTATCTTGTTCTAGGTAGTCTTGTTTTTTCCCCACTAAGGTGATCTATATGGTTAACTTACTTTACCTCTGTGCCAAGTGATGTTGTATTTAAGATGTTAAGGCACAAGGACAGTCTGTTAGTGTCAAGATGTCCATAGTTAGTTTAGTATGAGTATCAATGTACCTGTTGTTTAGCCTAACTGTACAATTATGTACTAATTTTCTACTCAGTCCTTTGAGTAAAAATTTTCTAGTAGTTTATAATATTAACTATTTTCATTTTTTCAGTAAAAAATTTCTAGCCAAATATGTTTAATTAAAAAAAAAATGCTTGTTTAAACAACTAATGAAAAATAAAATTAAGGTACTAAAATAGAAAAATTGGCAAGACACCAACTATGTAATTATTCTAATAATGACTGTTGCAAGCTGTCCATATTATTACTTGACATTTCAAAGCTTGAACAAGAGAAGCCAACAACAAATGATCCTCTAGTCTCGTGGTGGCAAGGTGACATGAATTCCACTTTGGTTATCCTTGGTGTTAATAAATTGAGGGGTAGACCTTATTTTGACTTAGCTTTTGGAGTTGAGTTAGGTTTCTCGTACTCAGTCTGCGCTGGATCAGCATTAAATATTATTTTTTATAATATTTTAATTTTTAAAAATTAAAATAATATTTTATGAAAAGTTAATCCATTTAATGTTTAATTTTTATTAATAATAAAATATAAACTATTTAATGTTATTTTAAAAATATTTTTCCAATTCATGAATTCTATTATCCAACAAAGAATAGAATATAAAATTAAAATACTTAAATTTCATATTTCATTCATTTAAATAAGCACTAATTACATTATAACCCAAAAATTCTAGAAAATGGAAAAAAAAAAAAAAAATTGAGCGGCGGATTAATCGACCCCATCAAATAGACTTCTCCGCCACATCGGACTTTGCAGTTGCCCACTGGCCACCTCCATTATTTTATTTTATAAAAAAATTAAATAAAAATACAAACAAACTCACATTCTCTCTTTACACCACCAACCCAATTCAAAAAAATCAAGAAAGAAAAAGTTCAGAAAAGAAAGCACAGAAACAGAGCTAAAAGAAACAAAGAAAGGACCCTCGTTGTTGTCTGTCATTTCTTGAAAATCTTTTGGGTTTTGATTTTTGAGCAAGATTTCTTCCAGATCGGTTTTCAATGGCTCAGCAAGGGCAGGTGTCTATCGACCCTGCCGTTTTGGACGATATAATCACTCGTCTTTTGGATTTTAGGCAAACAAGAGCAGCCAAACAACAGCAGGTACAGCTAACTGAGAATGAGATCCGCCAACTCTGTCTTGTTTCTCGAGAAATCTTTCTTCAGCAGCCCAACCTTCTGGAGCTTGAAGCCCCCATCAAGATCTGTGGTACATCCTTAAATTTCTTTCTTCATTACTCTATTTTCTTTGCTGTTGCTTTTTTTTTTTTTTTTGCGAACTTGGATTTTCAGTTTGTGGGTTCCTTTTTTTCTTTCGGTCTTTTGGAGAGAATAGATTGAGTATTGTTGTTATATGTAGGTTAAAACTGACTGTTTCTTTGCTGCCAAGCTGAAATTTGGTATTTCTTTGGATAAAGTTCGAGTTTTTAGGGTTGGAGAGCGAGCTTTGCTTGGGAAGTAACCTTAGTTCGGGAAAAAAAAGCAGGGATTGATTTTGGGGGTAATGGGTTGGTCTGAACTGTAAACCAGTTATTGAGGGAGTCCTATTTGTTTTTGGAAGTACAATCCAAAACTTTGTCTATACTGTGGCAATTGATGTGAAGAACGGAAGATGGATCAATGGTTCTCGGATAAAAGAATATGCTAATGCAATGGTAAGAGTCTTGGATTGCAGTTTACAGGCTGTTGATTTTAAGCTTGTGAGCAGCTACTTAATTCAAAAATGCAAAGGCAAGATGCTTAATGCAGAAATTCGAAGGTCAAGACTGCAACTAGAATTCCCTTTGTAGGCGATAGGCCCTTCTTTGGTGAGATGTAACCGAGTAATGTCTTTTTTTATGTTTCAAGGTTTTATATTACTAGGTCCCATTTAAGAAGGATTTAGAGAAAATTTGCATGGAGATAGGAAATGATATTAAATAGTAGAATTTAGGGGTGGGAAATCTGTATGCAATTCCGATTGCCACCTGAGGCATTAGCTTAGGTGAACCTTCACATAGATGAGGTGAAAGAGATGAGAGGATGAAAGGTGGTGCTATCTCTGAGAATTTTTTTTCGCATCAATATTTGCGTTACTTCTATGCTGTAGTGTTTTCTATTTTCAGTCATTTTTTTTAAATTTCTGTCAAAGTGATTGTATGATGAAAATGAAATAGCTATCTTTCTGCTTTATTCTGTCTGGGATGTTATAGATTAATGCTTTGTTTGGATGTAGAGAGGATGTAAAATGAGAGAGTAAAATAGTACTATTCATTTTACCTCCTTTGCACTCCTTATTTGATTTGAAGGAAAAATAGAAGGGTGGGAGTAAAATAAATTTATTTTACTTTAGTTGCACCTTCATTGTTTTTTTTCCTCCCATTTTGGAGAGCAAATTGGAGGATATAAAATAAAGATATTTTAAATCCACTCACAATTTTCTTCCTTCCCAAATAAGGTATTTTACAAACCCCAAAAAATTTTCACTTTTTTTTTCACCCATCCTTATTTTACATCCAACCAAACAAGCTCTAAGAAAGTCAAGTGGCCTATATGTTTTGTAACAACCTCCCAGATATAACTATGTATCAATGCTGTGCAGGTTGTTTGGAACTTTCATTCATGCAATCATAATTTAATTCTAATTTCTAAGATCAGTCTCACATTTGGGTTGGTCAGTATTCATCTTTCCACAGATGCTAACAATCACACATATTTATCAGTAGTTCTTCATTCAAGTTTGAATATCAGGCTGATTGGACGAGGTGATCTTTCAGTGTTGATCCTTAAAGTAGGTGATATTTTAAGCACGGTTCTCTATGGAAAAATATTTCTCATTGTAGCAACTTGTCCTACAGCAACCATCTTGAGGTTTTCCTTTTCTTGGTGTCATGGCAAGGCTTAATTACATGGAAACTGGTCTCTATAGCCATAAAATAGAGACAGAAGCAGAAGGCATGATGTAAAAAATGGGGGATATCTATCGAGGGAATTGAGTCATACAAAATTCTTGAGAAACCTGATTAAAGCTTAGAATTCATTCACTGATGTTAACATAGTTTTCTAAATGGCAAATCACATCAAAATAATAGATGTAATAGGATCCGTTGCATCCTACTAAAAATTTCACTTGAAAGGTAAACATCAATTCTAGATGTATATTACCTCTAAAATTGTTGAAACATTTTCCCATAGGTTTTGGAAAGGAGGAGATGGACAATGGAGATCACTTTGAGGAAGGAAATTTCTGGTAATCATTGGTGCTGCATCATATCTTATTTTTTAGGGTCCCTTGTAAGATATTCCAATTTGTTAGGATTCCTGTTTTTTAGGGTCTTGCATTTATCTTGCATCATGTTGTGGTTTAATTTTATTTTGAAAATAAAAGTTTAGCAATATGATTTTCTAGTGCTTTATAGGAATCTACTGCGTCATGTTATAGGCATGCTCTTATGTTGCTCTTACATCCTCATCTAAATTGAGGAATCACTTCTCTTTGAGTGTAATTTAAACAAATAATAAGACTGCAATGCAGTTTTTATTTTCACCTAATGTGTGAAATGCAAATTTTTTTTTTTTTTTTTTTTAATGCAATGCAGTTTTTATTTTTCACCTAAATGTGGTGAAATGCAAATTTTTTTTTTTTTTTTTTTTTTAAGTTCTTTACCTTTTATTGCATTTTAGTTTGAACTATATTAATTTCTACATTTATTTTCCAGTGACATTCATGGCAAAATTCTGATCTTTTGAGGCTTTTTTGGAATATGGGGTTTTCCGCCTTTAGTGCTAATTATTTATTTCTGGTTGATTATGTAGATTCGTGGCAAGCAGAGTTTGGAAAACAATCTGCCTTTTTGCTTGCCTAACAAGGATCCCCAAGTACTCCAGAGACTTCTTTCTTGTGAGGGGACAATCACGAGTCTGCGTTCTATTTTAATCGAATTTATTGGATTTTTTTAAGATGAATGTAAAACGGCGGATTCAATGCTTGAGACTTTGCGCGGAAAAACCTTCACTGATTGTTTTAACTGTCTTCCTGTTGCTGCTCTTATAGAACGACAAAATATTGTGCATGCATGGAGACTTTTCCCCTGAATTAACAAGTTTGGTAAATTAGAAGATTAAACCCCGTCCAACTGATGCTCCTGATTCTGGGTTGCTCTGTGATTTACTGTTTGGTTCTGATTTCCTTAGTAGGGGATGTTAAAGTTCTGGGGTATGAATGACCGAGGGTCTTCATTACACCTTGGGCCATGATAAGGTGTCAGGAATTCCTTAACAAATTAATGATATGGACCTTGTTTGTCGTGGCCCATTCAGCGTTGGTGAAGCTTACTTCTTTTGATACTTGTATCACTTTGATCCAGTTTACCAGGGGGCCTTTTTTGGTTTTGTTTTTCTGTTTCATGGTTGTGGAGGATGGGTATGAATTCGTTGCAGACAGCAGCTTGTTACAATTATTTTTCTGCTCCTAATTATTGCGGTGAATTTGGATAATGCTGGTGCGATGATGGAGTGTTTGATGAGACCTTAATGTGCTCTTTCCAAATACTTGTAAGCCTGCAGATAGGAAAGGTCCAAATTCATGTGAAAAATGGACTTGTTTGCTATCATGATTCTGGCTTATTAATTGCTAACGTAAGTTTCATGCTATGGTTTTCCTTATTTACTTTGTGCTAATTTATGCTATGCGCGTCATTTCAACTTGGCTATGACAAGATCCATTCTTTTGTTATTTCTGAAAATTTTCTATTAACACATAAATAAAATAAACAATCACTTTCTTTCAGCATGGACTCTAGTTCTATATATTTTTTGTTTTTTGCTCTTTTCTTTGGTTGGGGCTGATTCAATTTTCATTTGTATTTTATATTTTCATTTTGTCTTTGCTTAGAGGACTGGTGAATAATGCATGGTGAATGGATATTTTTCTTTTCTTCTTCCTCTTTTTCTTTTTTTTTTGGAGGAATGGAAATTGTTGGGAGTGAAAAGAATGGCTTTAGAATTTAACTTTTGCTAATTTGAGATGAAGGTTATTTGGTTGCGTGTTGGCGTGTTATAAAATGAATAGGATGCTGGTGTAAAAGGCTACTTTGAAGAATTAATTTTATTTGAAAAGGCCCAAACTTTCTACCTAGGCTTTACTTCCATCTTGGTTGAAACAATGAAGAATTTTCTTGGAACATTCATTTGCCATTGTTCTTGCTTGCACTTAGCTAACCATGATGATTGCTTTCCTGCTTTGGAGAGAAGTGCTGCAATAAAATAGATGTAAAAGGGCTGGAAAAGGCGGCTTGTTTTCAATAATAATTTTAACAAAACACTATAGGCCACCTTGTTGATATCGGCATTAGTAAGTTCCTAAGCCAAAAACTTTACTATTAGTGGCAAATCATCTCTTAATGTTTATTTCTTTTAGTGGCTAGATCCAATTTATTCTATGTTCTATCACAAAACTCTCGACCTCCCAGCCATTCCACCATCAAATCATTCCATTTACTTGACTTCCTATGCTTTTTCTTGATTCTTCATTGCCATCGGCACCTTTTTGGGCATAATTATGCCGGGCATTAGATTATCCAAACACCAGCCAATACATATTCCCCTTGCCTCCTCGGGTAACATGGTCACAGTCAGATTGGATATTTTGCCAGCAGTACCTGCTATTGTTAGCATACCATTCTCCTTTATCAAGGGTATTACCCTTGTTGCTTGTTACAGTTCCGTCGTTCTGTCCACCTTATCTGGCAATCTTTCACAATCCATGAAAAAAAGCTACGGTGATAAAACAAATTGGTTTCTGTTTCTAATTAATGTATTCCTCAATCTAATTAGATGTTAAGAGAAAAAAGTAAAATTGTGTTATTTTGGCAGTCATAATTGTTTACTATGCACATTACAATGCAGAAATTAGTTCTGGAAACTGCAGTTTTCAATGCTTACCTTCTTTATTATTTGGGCATAAAAATTAGTGAAATATCTTAGGATGAGTCTTCTTAATGAAGACTTCCAAAATTGGGATGTGGAAGCGAAAACTATAGAAAAGTGAAAAAGTGGTATTTTATATAGGATCTGGAAGGGAAAAACTGTAATACTTTCTTTCCTTTTTGCAATTTAAGTGTCTTTACTCTTCCTTGTTTAAGGTCTCATCCAGATGAAAATGATTAATGATATGTTTGATCATGTGGTGATGGCAAATCAGGGAGAAAGCCTATTTGTAATTTTTGTGGATTTCTAAAAGCTCTCTATTAAGTTCCTCTATATAATTTATTTGGTATGGCTTGATAAAGATTTCCAAGGTTTGGTCAAAATTACGGCTGATTTTGGCAAAATGTGAGTGTTGTTTACGGTTCACATTGCTTGCAGTTTTCTTTATTCCCCCTTCTAATTTATTCGTTCATAAACCACCTTTTGTTCATATGCATTGAAAAAACCAATGATAATTGTGCTTGTAGAGAACTTTTTTTGGGTTAACTACGTAAATTGTTTTATGATATGTATTTTCTTATATGTGCACCATAAGTTTCAAACCTGTTCTCAGCAGTAGCTTATCATTTTATTGATCTAGTTACCAGGCTTGCAGAGCTTTTTTTATGTGTTTTGCAACACGAGGAGCAAACTTTTTGAAGATTGAAACCCTGGGAATCAGAACTCCAAGCTGAGGTGTTGCCGAAGGGGTAAACATCTCTCTTGTGGAAGTGTATGAGTCATTGTTTGGAAAATATTTGTGTTTTTGGAGGAACAAGTCCTTCCTAATTTCCTAGTTTGAGCTAACTGTACTTAGTGCTGCAGTGCGTAAAAGTACAGATATTTATTCTTTTTTAAGTTCTCACGGAAATTACAATGCTGGTGTAAATTACAGTCTTGCTGTAAAAGACTGCATTGATTACACCACTGAAAGATGCTTTTCTTGGATCCTCAAAGGGCTTCATTAGGTTTTCAACCATACAACCGGTCAATCAAGTTCCGATGCGTGACTTTTAGATTTGTTTCAACCATCTTTCTTTCTTTGAAGAAACACATGCATTGACATGGCAGGTAAATAGTATGCTATAAGCACAAACAAACACTGTAATACCTGTTTGTATTTCTTTCATAAAAACTTTTTTGCACTCAAATCAGCTGTTTGAGGAAAATGCCAATTTTTCCCTAATGTGAAGTCATACAAAAATGTCAATCTTCTGATGTTCATGTGAAACAAATCCAATGTCACTGATAGATTGGAGGTCGCAAGAGATGCAGTTTGCCAGGTTTTCATGTCTAAAGCAAACGTGCAAGCAAATAGAATTGCACCTTTGGCATGTTTTGTTGCAGGATCATTGTGCACTAGGATCTATTTTAAAAAACCTAAATATTGATCACTCTTTTCCACTCTTCTTTAGAAAGGTACTTGATTGAAACTTCTTTGTTGGGGTTAAAAAATGGAGATGCTTGCTTTTGTGCTTATTTTGCTACTGGTTGTAGTTGCACTTGGTAGGAGGCAATGTTCTTTTCATTTGGCTTGCCACGTTTTCTGAGTGATGAGATACCTACTAAATCAAATGTGGGTAGCAGGTACATTAGGAAATGGGATATGGTCATTTTCAAAGTGGGATAAACGCCTGCCTTTTCTTAGGCATCCTTGGGACTTTTCGTAGGTGGTATCGGCCCACCCACCCATGATATACCCCACCTTCCTCAGCCCCACCCTCTTCCAGGATGTCCCACCCCACCATCACAAGGACATCCACCACCTTCTCATTGGTCCGATCACCCCCTCCAAGTTATGTCCCACCCTCGCAAGGAAATCCACCACCGTCCGTTCTTGTCATTTTCCACCATCTCCTGCACATCCACCACCTTTCTCATGGACATCTGCCACCCTTCTCCAAGATGTCCCTCGCCCTCGCAAGGACATCACCAACCTATTTCATTCATCCTCCGCGCTCCCCTTCAATATCCACCACCTTCTCAAGGTCAAACCACCTTCACATGGACATCTTGCCACCCTTCTCCAAGATGTGTTCCCTCGCCCTCGCTAAGGACATTCAACAGCCTATTCATCATCCTCCGCCGCTTCCCCAATATGCACCACCTTTCACATGGATTGTCCGCCTCCTACTCAAATTTGTCAACCACCTTCTCAAGCGACAAACTTCCTCCCTCACAAGGACATCCACCTCCCACCCAAACGCCACCCTCTCCCAAGACATCCTCCTCCCTTCACAAGGACATTCACCGTCTCCTCCCTGTCATTCTCCACCCCACTGCACGCATCACCGCCATCTCATAGGCATCCGCCGTTCCT